CCGCCTCGGCCTCCCGAAGTTCTGGGATTACAGGCATGAATCACTGCGCCCAGCCAGTATGAGGCACTTTTATGGATGTATTGTGGTATCTCATGTGACTTTAACTTGAATTCCTCCATTAATGAAGATAACATCTCTTCATATATGTATTGGTCAGGTTTTCATTTTTTATTTACAGAGCCACACATGAATATATCCTTGTTACATATAATACATGAATAGAAATCATACATATAAAGGTAAAGTCCCTCTAAAATGAATCCCTTCACTAGTTTTATTTTCGATTGAAAAAAAATTTTGTTTTGTAGAAATGGGGTCTTGCTATGTTGCCCAGGCTGGTCTCGAACTCCTGACCTCAAGCAATCCTACCACCTTGGCCTCCTACAGTGCTGGGATTACAGGTGTGAGCCACTATCTCCATCCCCTTCCCAAGTTTTGAGCACTGGGCTTGGAGTTAAGAGATCTGAATTCCAGCCTTCGTCTGCCACTGACTAGCTTGCTGTCTAATTTCAGACAAGTCTCCTCTCTGGGTCTGCCTCCCCATCTATAAAATCAGGGTGTTTAACTAGATATCATTATTTTGGCTTTTGTTATATCCACTGAACTAGAATCCTGATTAACACACAGTGACTGAAGAATGACCTTTTTTTTTTTTTTTTTTTTTTTTTTTTTTTGAGACTGTCTCTGTTGCCCAGGATGGAGAGTGCAGTGGTACAATCTTGGCTGACTGCAACCTCTGCCTCCCAGGTTCAAGAGATTCTCCTGCCTCAGCCTCCCAACTAGATAGTTTCTAAGGGTCTTTTTTCTTTAACATTCTGGCCACTGTTTCTGTGATCCCAAGAACCTCCATTAGGTAGAAATGGCCATTTGCCCCATTATCCATTCTCTCCATCTTCCTTAGTGATTGAACTCCTGAATTTTAGTTGAGCATATGGCTGTCCCACTAGACTATCTCCAGCCTCCCTTACAACTGGGCATGACCATGTGACTAATTTGAGACAAGAGTGTGTAGACAGAAATGTGTGCAACTTTTCGGTCATGACATCATAAAGAAGGGCCACATTCTCCACTTGCCCTTCTCTTCCTGCTGGCTGAAGAAGAGGACCTGATGATGGGAACTGGCCCAGCCATTTGTTTTGTTTTGTTTTTTGAGACAGGGTCTCACTCTGTTGCCCATGCTGGAGTGCAGGGGTGCAATCACAACCACTGCAACCTTGGCCTCCTGGGCTCCCTCCTGCCTCAGCCTCCTGAGTAGCTGGGACTACAGGAAATGCGCCACCATGCCCAGCTAATTTTTGTATTTTTTTGTAAAGACGGTTTCTCCATGTTGCCTAGACTAGTCTCAAACTCCTGGACTAGAGTGATTCACCTGTCTCAGCCTCCCAAAGTGTTGGGATTACAGGTGTGAGCCACTGTGCCCAGCACCAGCCACCTTTGTTCATGAGATGGAGGGCAAGATGTGCTGACGATGACAGAACAAGGCAGAAGCTGAGACCCCTCACAACATACTGCTGACATAACAGCTCTGGATTGCTTAGAGAGAAGTACATCTTCATCTCAAGCTATCATTATTTTGGCTTTTGCTATATCCACTGAACCAGAATCCTGACTAATACAGACCGACTAGAGAATGACTTTTTTTGTTTTGTTTTTTTGACAGAGTCTGACTCTGTTGCCCAGTGCAGTGGTGTGATCTCAGCTCACTGCAACCTCCACCTCCCAGGTTCAAGTGATTCTCCTGCCTCAGCCTCCCAAGTAGATGGGACTACCAGTGTCTGCCACCACGCCTGGCTAATTTTTTGTAATTTTAGGAGAGACGGGTTTTTGCCATGTTGGCCAGGCTGGTCTTAAACCCCTGACCTCAAGTGATCCACCCACCTTGGACTCCCAAAGTGCTGGGATTACAGGTGTGAACCACTGTGCCTGGCTCCAAGAATGACAGATTGGATATTGGGTCAGTTTTCTCAGAGGAAGGGACACTTTGAGCTGAGATCTTAACAAGAGAGACATTCATATAGATTTAGGGGAAAAGCATTCCAGGCCAAGGAGACCACTTGCGCTAAAGCTCAGTCCTCGACAACATTCTGTGTAATGAGGCCTACCTGATCAGTTGTGGTGCCCCCATCTCCCATCCCACTGTTTAAAGGGACTGAGCCAAGAGTGGACCATGTGACCTGAAGAGGAGATTTGGTATGTGAGTGGTGGGACAGAAAGGATCTTCCTCTGGGATTACAAATCTTAAAGACTATTTAAGCCTAGAGTTATTGAGGATCATGTTGCTGGCAAGTGGCAAAAACCCACCTGAGTGTAAAGCTAACCTGAGGCAAACACAGACGAGAGCTAGAAAGGGACACAGTCCTCCATGAGAGCCTTTGACCCTGGGTCCAACCACACCTGTCCTTATCACAATCCAGTTATGAAAACCAATCATGGCCAGGTATGGTGGCTCTTGCCTGTAATCTCAGCATTTTTAGAGGCTAAGGTGGTAGATCACGAGGTCAGGAGTTCAAGACCAGCTTGGCCACGATGGTGAAACGCTGTCTCTACTAAAAATACAAAAATTAGCTGGGTGTGGTGGTGGGTACCTGTAATCCCAGCTGCTCGGGAGGCTGAGGCAGAGGTTGCAGTGAGCCAAGATCATGCCATTGCACTCAGCCTAGGCGACAGAGCAAGACTCTGACTCAAAAACAAAAACAAAAAAGAAAACCAGTCATGTCCTTCTTCTCTATCAAACTGGATTTCCATCACCTGCAACCAAGAAGTTGCCTTGTCTCCTTGGTCTCTCCCCCATTACTGGAGGTAACTGCAGATGGCCCCCGAACTATGATCATTCAACTCACCATTTTTGACTTTACATTTATAACTTTATTACCATATAGATTTTTGTGTTGGTAGTTTTGCCCAGTGTAGGCTAATGTAAGTGTTCTTGGCATGTTTAAGGAATGCTAGACTAAGCTATGATGTTTGGTAGTTTAGGTATATTAAATGCATTTTTGACTTATGATCATATTTTCAACTTATTATCACGATGTAAACCCATCACATAAGTGGAGGGGTATCTGTATAACATTGTTAGACCTATAAATTTGCTGCTGATTTTTGGGAGGTGGTATGGCACAGTGATTAGGGGCAGAGGCCTTAGAGTTGGACTATGGGTTCAAATCCCAGCTTGGCTGTATCCCATGTGGTTCTAAACCAGTTCTGCCACAAACTTGTTAAGTGGCCTTAAGTGAGTCACATAAGCTCTCGATGTAGCTTCCTCATTGCAAAATGTCTCAAGCTAAGTTTAGTATTCTCCTTCCACCCTGACTCTGCTTCTGTTCCTCCATGCAGCCTTCCCTATCTCAGTAAATGACGCATCAGCCACCCAGAAGTTCAAGCCAGACTCATCTCTCAGATCTAATCTACCTTCTAAACACATCCACAATCCGTTCCCCTTTCTCCATCCCCACTGTCACCCCTACAGTTCAGGCTGTCAAGACTTTTCATCTGTAGTTTGCCATAGAGCTGTTAAAACACTTCTACAAACCGCAAATTTGATTGAGCCATTCTGAAAAGGTGAATGTGGCCCTTGACCCCTGCATGGTTTGGTCCTGGTCTGTCTCTCTCCACTCAGTTCGGGCCATGCTCTCAGTGCTCCGGACAGCCCAGCCTTGTGTTCCTCCAGCTAGGAGCCCCATGGACTTTGCACAACTCTTCCCTCTCCCTGGAATGCTCTTCCCCAATTATGTCTTAGCTTGATGGCTCACCCTTCAAGTCTAGGCTCAAATGTCAGCCCTTCAGGGAAGTATTTTCTGATCCTTCAAAGCAGGTCAGAGCCTGGTGACCTCCTTCACAGCACCTGTCACCACGTCACTGGTACGTATCATCTGCCTCCTTCCGAACCACTGTTTCTTTTTTTTTTTTGAGATGGAGTCTCGCTTTGTTGCCCAGGCTGGAGTGCAACAGCATGATCTCAGCTCAATGCAATCTCCACCTCTCAGGTTCAAGCAATTCTCCTGTCTCAGCCTCCTGAGTAGCTAGGACTATAGGCATCCACCACCACACCCAGCTAACTTTTGTATTTTCAGTAGAGATGGGGTTTCACCGTATTGGCCATGCTGGTCTCAAACTCCCGACTTTGTGATCTGCCCGCCTCCATCTCCCAAAGTGTGCTGGGATTATAGGCATAAGCCACTGTGCCTGGCCCCAACCACTGTTTCAAGAGAGGCCCCTTCTCTGCTGTTCTCTGTCTCAAACCCCTTCTTTCCTTCAAAGCACTTATCACAACATGTAACTGCTTTATTTCTTTGTTTTCTTCTTAGCTGTCTCCCCTATTCTCTTTGTATAATTTCCCCGAAGAGACAAGCTGAGGTCTGTCTTGCTATATTCCCAGGACCCAGCCCTGAACCTAGGAGCAGGGCAGGGATTCTCAAAAAGTATCTCTTGAATAAAAAGTGTTTCTGGTGGTAGCAACTCCAGCAGTCAGGAACTCCCTCTTTGCCTCTAAGTTTTGATCCTCAGGCAATATTTCTGCTGCTAATGAGTCATTCTTCTCTGGGTTTATGGTTCAGAGTAGAATAGGAGACCTCAGGCAGCCTGGCAACCTCTGGCCTGTGTGGGAAATGCCTTCCAGTGGAATTGCAGCACATTTCAACTCTAACCCAGGGATATCCATCTAGGCCTCAGTTCCACACCCACCTCTGCTGCCAGAAGCTTTCCAAGGCTTCTCAGGCCCCAAGATGCCACTGTTCTCCTCTTCCCCTAATGCTCCAAGACCCTCTCCCAGCCGGGCCCCACCAAGCCTGTGCCCCAACTCCAGGTTGCTTTCAAGCTGAAGCCACACCAGAGGATAGAGCTGAGAGTGAGCTGAGGTCAGCTCAGAGCTGATCCAGGGGAGGGGCAGGGAAGCTTGGGAAAGCCCATAGGATGCAGCTGCGAGTGGTAAGAGTTAGCATGCCGGCAAACCCACCCAGGGCTGCTGGGCCCACTAGCATGTAAGCAGGAAGAGGGCACGAGGGCACAGTTCTAAAAGCAGCATTTACTTTGGTTTTGACTTCTCTGTGGCCCCGGGAACTTTTTAAAGTTCTAGTTCTTGGATCTGGCACTCTCTCCATCATTCCTCCTTCAGCCACTGCAGCAGCTGGGGTGTGTAGTAGGTGATGATGATGTCAGCACCTGTGTTGGGAGAGATGCAGATAGTTGGGGGTGGTGGGGGTGGTGATCAGCTCTAAGCACACCTTCTGAGATGGGAGGGCCAGGTGGGGAAGAAGGCTACCATGAAAAGGCACAGCCTGTGGGCACACCACATTAAGATGGAGCCTGGTAGCTGGGCACGGTGGCTCACGCCTGTAATCCCAGCACTTTGGGAGGCCGAGGCGGGTGAATCACAAGGTCAGTTTGAGATTAGCCTGGCCAATATGGTGAAACCCTGTCTCCACTAAAAATACGAAAAATCAGCCAGGTATGGTGGTGGGTGCCTGTAATCCCAGCTACTCAGGAGGCTGAGGCAGGAGAATCACTTGAACTCAGGAGGCTGAGGTGGCAGTGAGCTGAGATCATGCCACTGCATTCCAGCCTGGGTGACAGAGCAATACTCCGTCTCAAGAAAGAAAAAAAAAAAAAAGAAAGAAAGATGGAGCCTGGCTTTGGCTGGCTTTGGGCAGCTCTATTTCTTAGGCAAGTCATTTTGGAAGCTCAGTTTGCCAAAGTATAAAATGCACCATGAAGGAAATAGGTAAGATGCAAGTTCTCTTCCCATGCTTGTGTGCAATCTAACAAAACAAGCCCCCTTTATGGAGAGGTATTACCTCATTGAATCCTCAGGACAACCGTGCACCAGGTATCTTATCCCTGGTTATCCAGTTATGGGTGAGGACACTGAGGTTCGGAGAAGTGGCTTGTCCACTGTTTTCACAAACAAAAATTAACGGAGGAATCTGCTTTCCTCACCGTGCCGTGTTCTACTGCTGCAGTTCCCTATCTCTTCCTCAATTTGTGTCTGTTTAGATCACTAGCAGTTCCCAGCATGAGACTCCAAGCTCTCAGGACTTCGTTCCCCGATCTAGGCGGAGTACTTACAGTTCCTGAGGCGCAGGTCAAAACACCCCACCCCTGCCTGCTTACCTGCTCTGCGGAAGGCAGTCATGGCCTCCAGTACAGCAGCCTTGAGATCAAATGCCCCGGCCTGGGCTCCATGCCACAGCATGGCAAACTCTCCAGAAACGTGGTACACAGCGAGAGGGAGGTGAGGGTGCTGCAGAGAAGCAGACAGGCAGACAGGCTGAAATGGAGGGTGGATGTGGCTCTGGGAGTGTCCCTTCCCCCCTGCTCAGTGTGTGACCATCTGAGCCCCGTGCCCTGGGTTACTGCGGCTGGCAGCCTGGCCCACTCTTTAACAGTTAGAGCAGGGCTGTCTGAGGCTCCTGCAGGCCCTGGCACACAAGGCCATGTGGTTCCTGGGCAGGGATGGGGGAGTCCTGCTCAAGGGCAGACTGCTTCCAACTCTGAGATTCCGGAGTCTGTGGAAAACTCCATTCCATCCCCCTGACCCCCCTTTACCTCGGGCCTGTGCTCACCTTGTCCTTTACCTCCCGTACGATGTCCAGGTAGGGCATTCCTGGCTTCACCATGAGCATGTCAGCTCCTTCCCGTACATCCCGGTCCTAAGGGATGGGGGTACAGTATGGGCGGTGCCTGGGAGGGGCCGAGGGTGGCACTCAAGCCCTAGTCACTCACCACAGCTCGGAGGGCCAGGCCTCGTGCTCCAGGGGGCAGCTGGTAGCAGCGGCGGTCCCCAAAAGCTGGGCTTGACTGAGCCGCATCCCTGCAAAGCAGAGTCATCAGGGTGGGATCCAGCTTGGGCCATTGGGCCAGGGATTTAACAGCAGGCCTCTGCCCACCCCTGCTCACCGGAAAGGGCCATAGAAACAGGAAGCAAACTTGGCACTGTAGCTCATCACGGATACCTATGGGGAGATCATGGGGTCCTGGCTCAGTCGGTCCTTGCCAGGTGTCCCAGGGTGATGTGGCAGGGAGAGAAAGGCCCTAGGCTGGGAAGGAGGGTGTTCGTTCTGGTCCTGTTGGAGCACTGGGATTGATTTCCCTGTCACAGACCCAGAGGTTGACACAGTTCCTCAAAGCCTCATTCAGCACTGTCTTCAGCTCTGTGATTCTTTTTTTCTTTCAAGATAGAGTCCTGCTCTGTGACCCAGGATCAACTGCAGTGGCGTGATCTCAGCTCACTGCAACCTCTACCTCCTGGTGGAGGATTCTCCTGCCTCAGCCTCCCGAGTAGCTGGGATTACAGGCACCCACCACCATGCCCAGCTAATTTTTGTGTTTTTAGTAGAGATGGCGTTTCACCATGTTGGCCAGGCTGGTCTTGAACTCCTGACCCCAAGTGATCCACCTGCTCTGGCCTCCCAAAGTGCTGGGATTACAGGTGTGAGCCACCACGCCCAGCAGTTCTGTGATTTTTAGCACACACGGGGGCTGGGCTGGTGCAGACTCTCTCCTCCCGGCCCCACGCCGCTCCCTGCACTCCCCGTCCTTACCCTGTTGCCGAATCCGTGTGCCAGTAGGGCCTCCTTGATGGCTTCCACTCGTCCATCCATCATGTCCGATGGGGCTACCACCTGACATCCTGCAGGGCAGAGGGGGGCCTTTAGAACTCTGGGACCATCCCAGCCACTCTGCCACCTCCCTGACCCAGAGGTGCCCATCCCTGCTGGTGGTTCACTCACCTGCCTTGGCATATGCCAGTGCCACTTCAGCCAGCCGCTGGCGGCTCTCCTCAGCCCGGAATGCTCCATTTTCACTCAGGAGCCCTGCAGGACAGAAGGCTGGGTTTGGGGGAGCACCTTGGACCCTGGCCTGTCCCTACCCTGGTGAGAAGTGGGCAGTGGGAATGTGGGTGGCAGCAGGGCTGGTTGGGAGGAAGGGAGCTCACCACAGTGACCATGGGAGGTGTAGGGACACAGGCAGACATCACAGGCCACCAGGAGATTGGGGAAGGTCTTCCTCAAAAGACGGATTGCCTCAATAGCTGGGGACTCCTCGGAGTCAGCTGCAGAACCCCGCTCGTCCTAGGGGCAGGGGAGGGACAAAGCAGTGTGTCTGTTACATGTAGCTTCAGGAGGCAGGACAGCAGCCATCACAGAGCACAGCCCTGACCCTCTCCTTCCTTTATTGTCACAGCCCCTAGATAAGAAAGCTCATGTCCCTTCACCTGTGGCCCCAGGGCCAGCACAAGGTTGGAGTGAGGATGCAGTCAGTGTGGACCCTCAGTCCACCCTCACCCAACCTCCCTTCCCTTTTCTGGTTTTTATTATTTATTTATTTTTTTTTTGGAGACAGGGTCTTGCCCAGGATGGAGTGCACTGGCACGATCTTGGCTCACTACAGCCTCAACTTTCTGAGCTCAAGTGATCCTCCCACCTCTCTGCCTCCAGAGTAGCTGGGACTACAGATGCACACCACCACACCCAGCTAACTTTTGTATTTTTTTGTAGAGATGGGGTTTTGCCATGTTGCCCAGGCTGGTCTCCAAATTCTGGGCTCAAGTGATCCACCCGCCTTGGCTTCCCAAAGTGCTGGAATTATGGGCGTGAGCACAATCTTCCTTCTTAACCCTTCCTTCAATTCTTCACCTTGGGAACTCTGCTGGGGACACCGAAGATCAGGACACAGCGTAGGCCCTCTTCCACCAAGGGCCTCATCATCTCTTCCAGCCGGTTCACACCATACCTGCGTGGGCGGGGGTAGATGGGCTGAAGGAAAGCAGGTCCCAGGCAAGGGTCCTCTGGACCCCCCACACTGTGCCTCTGTTTGGAGCCAAGTTACATATGGCACCAGGAGGGCTCAAGCCTCCAGGAGAGGAAGGGGCAGGGATGCATCCACTAAATAGGAGGGAAGACTGAGGGCCTGAGTAGCAGAGCTCTGCAATTCAGCCATGGCAGGTTCCCCCGAGACCCTCTTATTAAACTCCCATCTGCAGTTCAGCTCCCTTCTCCAACAGCCTCTGCCGTGACGCCTCGGGTGATGGGCAGCTCATGACTTTATGGGGCTGCCTCTTTCACTGCAGAACAGCTCTGGCCCTGAGAAAACCTTTCCCTCTACTGAGCTGATGTCTGCCTGTTCGCATCTTCAACCTCCTGGGTCCGCTTCTGCCTCCCGGCACTTCCACCTGTGGAATCTCTCCCTCCACCACCCTCTTGCCCCCACTTCCACATCTCCTACCTGGCCACTCCTGGGAGGCTGGCGATAGGCTGTACGTCATCAGGAACATCCCTGCAAGAATGGGGGGTGGGATATGGATTGGTGGCTGTGGGAAGGGCCAGTGGTGAGGGGGTGCCTGAGAGGGATGGTTGGGAAGCGGGGAAGAAATATGGGCGTGGAGACGGTGGGAGGAGGGTGAGATCCAGTGTCTGGCTTCCCTGCCTGGCCAAGCCCAGGGCCTGAAATAATAATAGGAACAACAAGAATAACAGTGACAACAGTAGCAGCTGGACTAAAAGAACAGCAGTTACAGGAAGGAATTAATGGTTAACAACTTGGACTCTGAAGTCAGCAGGTCCTTGCTTCCTATCCCAGTCTACCGCCTGGGTGACCGTGGCCAAGTTCTATCATTTCTTTGAGCCTTAGGCCTTCACCTGTATCATGGGTGGTTAATTCATTCACTCAACAAATATTTATTGAGTACTTCTATGTGCCAAGTACTGTTCTAGGCCCTGATGACACAACAGTGAACAAAATAGACAAACATCCCTACCCGCATGGAGCTGATGTCCTGGAGGGTATCTACTGCTTCTTCATACAAATGCTCTCAGAATTGAATGACAAAATGTGTGTAGGTGCTTAGAATAGTACCTGGTACACAGTAAATACTCAGTAAATGTCTGCATTATTATTGTTGTTGTTATTATTTTGAGACAGAGTTTCACTCTTGTTGCCCAGGCTGGAGTACAATGTCTTGATCTTAGCTCACTGCAACCTCCGCCTCCCAGGTTCAAGTGATTCTCCTGCCTCAGCCTCCCAAATAGCTGGGATTACAGGCATGCTCCATCACACCCAGCTAATTTTGTATTTTTAGTAGAGATGGGGTTTTCCATGTTGGTCAGGCTGGTCTTGAACTCCCAACCTCAGGTGATCCACCCACCTTGGTCTCCCAAAGTGCTGGGATTACAGGCATGAGCTACCACATCCGCTCGTTATTATTAACAATAACGATTGCCATCCCTTACAGGTACATAGCACTTTACAACCTACAGAGCACCTTCTCAGATTCTGTCTTATTGCAAGAGCTCAGGATAGCAGGCAAGGTTATTCTTCTAATTTTCCAAATGGAATGACTGAGCTCTTTCAAAGTTTGTTTTGTTCCTAAGATTCCTGTCCTTAATCCAAGTTGGCTGCTTCCAATACCTTGAATTGCAAGCTGACAGCTCACTTTGCCACCCCTAGCAATACTGATGCCTGCTCCAGTCAACACTCCCTCCCCAACCCCAACCACCAGAGCAGAGGCCTGGCCCATTCTTGGAGACTCACGTGACAAAGATGGGGTAGATGAGGTTGGAGGCATTGAGGGTGGTGGTGGCTGTCTGCCAGGCCCGAAGCAGTGGGTGGAAGTAGCCACTGTGCAGAATGGACTGGGGCTGCATGGCGTGGGCCAGTGGGCACAGGGGCATCAGTTGGTTGGAACCAAGGGCTCTTGGGGTGTTGGCTGCAGGCTCTGTCTGTGGGGGGTGATGGGTGGCACATGAGACATGGTTCCTGACCTCAGGAGATAGTCACATTTGGAAGACAGCTTTTCCAGATTCCTGCCTCCCCTCTGTCTAGCCCAATGCTACTCACAGCATGGTTCAGCCATCCCTGCTGGCCAAGAAGGTAAGTAGAGAAATGAAAGTAAGTCTTTAGAAACTTTCATGGGCCAGGCGCAGTGGCCCACGCCTGTAATCCCAGCACTTTGGGAGGCTGAGGTGGCAGGATTGCTTGAGCCCAGGAGTTTGAGGCCAGCCTGGGCAACATGGTGAGACCCTGTATCTACAAAAAGTTTAAAAATTAGCCAGTGTGGTGGTGCACACCTGTAGTCCAGCTACTCAGGAGGCTAAAGCAAAAGGATGGCTTGAGCCCGGGAGCTCAAGGCTACAGTGAGCTGTGACTGCACCAATGCACTCCAGCCTGGTAACAGAGGGGGACCTGTCTCTGAAAAGTAATTATTTTATTTCATTTTATCAAAGAATCAATAGATTGGAGATACAAAGAAAAAAAAAAAAAGACCGAATCCTTTCCTTTCCTATGCATAGTTTGAGAAGCACTGATCTAGCCAACATTTAAACTTTGTTTATTCCACAAAAAATGCCCATGTTCACGGCAGAACTTTTGGAAAAGTACAGATAAGCAAAAAGAGAAAAATCCCCTGCGATTCTATCTTAGAGAAAAGTACTGTTGGCTGGGCATGGTGCTCATGCCCATAATCCCAGCACTTTGGGAGGCTGAGGTGGGCAGATCACTTGAGGTAAGGAATTAAAGACCAGCCTGGCCAACATGGTGAAACACCATTTCTACTGAAAATACAGAAGAAAATTAGCTGGGCGTGGGGGTGCACACCTGTAATCCCACCTACTGGGGAGGCTGAGGCAGAAGAATCATTTGCACCCAGGAGGCGGAGGTTGCAGTGAGACAAGACTGTGTCACTACTGCACTCCAGCCTGGGCAACAGAGCAAGACTTTGTCTCAAAAAAAAAAAAAAAAACAAACAAAACAAACAACAACAAAAAAAAAAAACAAGGAAAGGAAGAAAGAAAAAAGTACTGTTAACACCTTGGGACATGGACTTCCTGTTAGGTACAATGCATACCAATAGGATAAAATAGTACCATTCATGTCAGATAGACAGACACACACACACATACTCTGTAAGTGCCACCAAATCTTCTTTTCTAGCCCAAGGAATTTCCTGGGCTCCATGAGCACAAGCTATACCTTCTGCTTTGCTCACCTTGTCCCTTTACCTGAAAGGCTGTGCTCTCCCCACACCCACATCTACAGGGTTCTCCTCTCTTCCACTGAGGCTTTCTTGCCCAGATTGCAATCTCTCTTACATAAGTGATTTGTGGACCTGTCTTATCTCATGCCAGTAGACAGGGCTTCTGCAGGGCAAGGTCCGGAGTTGCTTCATTATTGTCTCCCCTGCAGTGCTCTGTCACCAACTGATCCTGGCACACAGTAAATCTTTAATTATGTGAGATACAAAAAGAGGCCTTAAACAGCAAATAAGTGGACACAAGACAGAAGGAAGCTGGGGCATTAACATTTGTTTCTTGAGCACCTACTGTGTGCCAGGCCATGCCTGGCACTTTCACAGGTGATTTCTCATCCAGTGGGCATTACAGTCGTGGGAGGCAGGGCTGACTGAGTGCATGGAGCCTGACCAAAAGTAAGCCATGGCTCCAATGGGGGTGAGGAGGTCAGAAAGGCTTATTAGAAGAAGACAGGGGCCGGGCGTGGTGGCTCATGTCTGTAATCCCAGCACTTTGGGAGGCCGAGGTGGGTGGATCACTTGAGGTCAGGAGTTCAAGACCAGCCTGGCCAACCTGATGAAACCCTGTCTCTACTAAAAATTAAAAAAAAAAAAAAAAAAAAAAAAAAAAGCTGGGTGTGATGGTGCATGCCTGTAATCCCAGCTACTTGGGAGGCGAAGGCAGGAGAACCGCTTGAACCTGGGAGGCAGAGGTTGCAGTGAGCTGAGATAGCACCAATGCACTCCTCCATCCTGGGCAACAAGATCAAAACTCCATCTCACAAATGTGGGGAACATTCCCGTGAGACCCCCAAAAGGCGTGGGTCTCACTATACGGTGAGTTTGATCCCAAACACAGTTTCCTGCTGGAGGCAGTCAAGCTATTGGAAAGAAGGGACTGAAAGATGACTGATCAGTTTCTAGTATTAACAATGATATCATTTGGGCCTAAACTATGTGGTGCTGCTAGACTGAGTGACTCCATGCCAGCAACCAGTTTCTGCTTTTAACTTTTACGACTCTTTCTTTAAGAATAGCTTTAACCTTTTCTTTACTTGCCTGACTGCCTTGTACCCTAGATAATGGTTTAGCTGTGGGGAACCCTACCCTGTGGATATTTGCAAAGCAAATGCCACTATACGGATGGCTTTGATCCCAGACTCAGAGACTCCTGAATAGGGGGAGTTGAGATAAATTGAGTCAGGAGCAGACAAAGGAGAATCTGGTTAAAAGATATTCTGATGAGCAAAACCAGAAAACCTTTTCACATGTTGAGTCCTAAAACAAGATCAAACCAAAAATACCTGCAGCCATGAAGAATAATGTCTGTATGTAAATAAGCTTTGTGATCACAGGAAATTCTATTACTTTTTACAACCACTGATTGTGTATCTGACTTCTCTATTGTATAGGCCATGTAAGGTATAGATTTGCATTTCCTCTTGCAATGACGTAAACCAGAGCTGGGAAAGAGTATTTATTCCTGGCCTTTGAAAAAATAAATTTGCTGTTTTAGGCACGGCCTATCCAGCCCTCCAGACCCCTTTTTTCTTTATGTGTACTCTCTCTTCCAGGTATTGCGACCCTCTTGCAGGTCGAGAGATCCCTGGCAGACATGCCGTCCCGACCGGCTCCTGACACACAAATAAATAGATATAAAAATAAAAACAGGCTGGGTGTGGTGGCTCACACCTGTAATCCCAGCACTTAGGGAGGCCAAAGTGGGTAGATCACCTGAGGTCAGGAGTTTTGAGACCTGCCTGACCAACATGGAGAAACTCCATCTCTGCTAAAAATACAAAATTAGCTGGGCATGGTGGCACATGTCTGTAATCCCAGCTACTCGGGAAGCTGAGGCAGGAGATCGTTGGAACCGGGGAGGCGGAGGTTGCTGTAAGCCAAGATCACGCCATTGCACTCCAGCCTGGGCAATAAGAGTCAAACTCTGTCTCTCTCACACACATACAAAGAAAAGAAATAAAAATAAAAATACAAAAATTAGCTGGGTGTGGTGGTGTATGCCTGTAATCAGAGTTCCTCTGGAGGCTGAGGCAGGAGAATCGCTTGAACCCAGGAGAGCCGGAAGTTGCAGTGAGCCGAGAGTACACCACTGCACTCCAGCCTGGGCGACAGTGTAAGATTCTGCCTCAAAAAAAAAGCAGGGGGTTGAACTTGGTTTTGCAGGATGAGTGGGTTCAGCCTGGCAGAGGGAAGGGGGCCAACATTTCCTTAGGAAGGGAAGAAAGGGGCAAAGATGGGGAAGGAGGATGGCTGTGGGCTGTTGTGAGGAGCTGAGCAGGCAATCGAGGCACGTGTGTATGGAGGGGATGGAAGAGAGGGGGCCAGGCTGAGGCTGTGTGAAGACTGTTGAGCAGTGGGTGGAGGAGTGGCCTGGTTGACGCCTGGCTTTAGGAAGATCAATCCTGCAGGCTGAGCAGAGCAGATGGGAAAGCAGAGGAGTGCAGAGGCTATGGAGGCCGGGGGCAGAGAAGGAAGGGGTGTTTTGAGGCAGCCAAGAGATAGTGTCTCAGGGCGGATGCTCTAGGCCTGCCTGCCTGACCTGGAGGGCGGCAGAGATAGCGACAGGGACAGGGTAGGAAGAGGGTGGTGGGGAGCTGGGCTTGGAGAGGAGGTAGAGAGCTCTGTTTTAGACATTTCCTTTTGGAGGTGCCTGAAAGAAATAGCCCATAGCCAAGGAGATACTGGGTCGGGGAAAAGAGCCACAAAAATGGGGACTGGCAGGCCTGAGTCCAACTGCTCTTTGTATGAATGGGACCTCAAGGCCCAGAGAGCGGCAAGGACTTACCCAAAGCCACACAGTGAGTAAGAGGACTAACTGCCAGGTGAACTGGGAGATCCTTTAGTAGGCTGGTCTAATCTCTTTGATTCTTGCTTCCCAGAAAACCACCTTTGCAACAGGCCTCTGGCTTCTGGAATTCAAAGCTGCATTCCCAGGGCCTTGACTCCTCCTCCTGCTTATCAGAAACAGTGGGGCAGGGCTGCCAAGGAGCCTGGCTGCTGTTCTCCTCATAGTCTCTTAGGCCCCTTTCACTGCCCCAGCCATCTCAGGGGCCTGTTTTATCCAGTCTTCCTCCTTGCCAGGGTGGGGTTATCACAAGTCACAGTTGGGCCAGCCTTGCTGCCACACCCCTGGGTGGGCCAGCCTCATCACCTGACACGGGCAGGCCAGACCTCCCCACAAGTCTCAATACCCAAACAGGCAAAATCATTCAGTAGATATGAGGCCCTGGCTACCCATTTAGTACTTGATTTTGCTCTCATGTCTGCCAGGAGTTTTTCTTTTTTGGGGGTGGGGGGTGGAGTTTTGTTCTTGTTGCCCAGGCTGGAGTGCAATGGTGCGGTCTTAGCTCACTGCAACCTCTGTCTCCCGGGTTCAAGCGATTCTCCTGCCTCAGTCTCCTGAGTAGCTGGATTACACGCATGTACCACCATGCCCAGTTAATTTTTTGTGTGTTTTTAGTAGAGACAGGGTTTTTCCATGTTGGTCAGGCTGGTCTCAAACTCCTGACTTCAAGTGAGCAGCGCATCTCGGCCTCCCAAAGTGCTGGGATTAAGGGCATGAGCCACCACACCTTGCTGAGAGAATATTTTTTAATATTGAGAGAATTACCAAAATGTAACCCAGCTGCCCAAGCCCACATAGCTATTTAGTGACTGAGCTAGAATTTAAATTTGTTCTAGACTCCAAATGCTGGGTTTTATATGCTGTATTCCACAATACAAGTAAACACCTAATTCAGTAGGCTTCTCTCTGCCCATACTGTTTCTGCTTTGGGTGCTGGAGAGACAGAGGCACAAAAGAAAAACATACTGAGTGTATTCATTCTGGGCTGGGCACAGCACTAGGTACTTTACAGCAGCATTTCATTTCATTGCAAGAATTGTCCGAACTTTTAGTGATAAGGAAACAGAGGCTCTGAGCGGTTCAGTGACTTGCTTAATGCCATTAGAGTCTAGTCAGTTCAGTGCCAGACTTGCCAAGTTGAAGACAGGTCTAATCTCTCTGATTCACTTCCCATAAAACAACCTCCGTTGTTTGCTGGCTTCTGGAATCCAAAGCTGCATTCCACTGGCCTCAGTTCCCCATTGCCTTTAGGAGACTGAGGGAACAACTGCCTCCTGCTTAGCAGAAACACTGGGGCAGGCTGCCTAGGAGCCCGGGACCGGGGCACGGTTAAAGGGAGCAGTCTCACTACAGCAGTTCCACTTGGATCTGTTTTTGAATTCGAAGATTCAGAGGGAGATTTGATTTGAGAAACGGGTGTCAGTGCTGAAAATATTAAAAACTTGAAAATGGCCAATGCTGTTCGATCCCTTACATTTTAATGTGGAAAATGGGGTATAGAGAGGCGACAGGATTTGTTTGAGATCACACAGTGAGTGACATACGGAGCTAGAAACTGACCCTGGCAGCTCCTGGCTTCTAGCTCAGTGCCCTGATACCTATGCCATAGAGTCATTCCATTGTAGGAGGTGCTTAATAAGTGTCTGTGGACTGGGAAAACACCCCTGAAACACATATCTGGCAGAGCCAAATCCAGGATGGGTTTTACTTTGCAAAAAGGCCCTTAGAGTTTGGGAGGTATTCATAGACTGGGAGGGTACTTCTCCCATATCAAGGGAGCTTGCAAACCACAACTTAAATCCCTATGACATCACCATACTGAAGACAGGCACAAGCTACCAGGAGGTCTGACACCTCTGCCCACCCACATTGAACAGGTTAGCTTTGCTGGGATGCAGAGTATAGGGCAGAGCAGAAAGAACCATGTTTCAGGGTCAGACAGCCCGAGGTTTGGTCTACGCTCTGCTGTGTAATTTTGGGCAAAGTCATTGACCTTTCAGTGTTCATTTCATAATCTACAAAATAGGCATCATATCTCTAACTTGCAAGGGTGTGGGGAAGATTACAGATAGGGATGAGGCAGGTGTCTGGCACCGAAGAGCTGCACAGTAAACATGTAGCTAATTGTATTACTATTAGGAGTAGGGCTGGGCTGGAACGAGATGTTGTGGCACAGCTCTGTGCCTTCTGCACCTCACCCAGACAGGAATATGCGATCAAACCCTTGTGGGGTACAGGGTTTTCCCAGATTTCTGAAGTGGAGTCTCTGCCTTCCAGCAGGTTATGTGGTGGAGGAAAAAGAAAATCACCACCCAGCTGCCAGAGTAGAGGGGTGGACCAGGTGCTCTGAGAGGGACTGTGTCTCTGGAAGTCAAGGATGGTTTCATAGAAGAGGGGACAGTGAAGGATAAGTAGTGTTTCAGATTTAATGTGAAAGTATCTCCTCCCGTGGAAGGCAACATCCCCAAACTGGGAGTAACTGAAGTTGGGCCCTGAGTGCTGCCACTAGAAGGGGCTGAGAAAGAGCTTCATGCCCTACTCCTGTCCCATGTTGTACTGTGTTGGAAGATTCCAGAGACTGTGGTCTTGGCACAAAGGGTTAGGACCTGCTGCCAGCCCTGGCAGGCTCTGCCACTGGCCAAGTAGGAGGCAGTCAGGAGAGCCAGCTAGGTAGAAGGTGGCCAGAATTGAGAAATCCAAAGCCCACAAAGGCCCAGGCGAGCGGCTGTCAGTTCTGAAAAGGGACGGAGTGTTCATACAGCCAACCCACATTTCTTGAATATCTACTCTGGGCCTGCCAAAGTGCTAGACACAGGAATTAAAGAGAAGAATGAGACCCCAGCCTTGTCCTGGGGCTTTGAAGAGCCTGATCTCCTCTGGGGTTAGCCATTTGGACATAGAAAGAGAAGCTGCCATTCCCAGAATCCTGTATTTTGGCTAAGAGGCTTTTAAAAGTTTGCTGGTTGTATCACTGAAACAAGAGTGAAACTGGGCTCAGAGAAGGGAAGACACAGGCCCAGGGTCACGCAGTGCGTCAGCGGCAGATATGGGGCAAGGTAACCAGCAGCCCAGTCCTCAGTGCCCACAATGACACCTCCATACTTTAAGGACAGATATCAAATCTGCTTCCCAGCAGGTTGGGCTTGTGCAAAGCACCGGGTGAACTGTGACTCTAGACCTTGCTGCTGTTGGTAGCAGGATGGTTAAATGTGTGGGCTCTGGAGTCTGATAGATGTGGGTACAAATCCTAGTTCTATAGCTTGCTAGTTGTGTGACCTCAGTGTCTTCATTTAGTAAATGGGGACTTGAACCGATCGAAATGGGTTGTTGTAAGAAATGAACGGGCCGGTGTTGTATGAAAGGAGTGAAGGTTAGAATGAATGGGCCAAGGCACGCAAGGCTTAGCACAAAGCAGCTGTTATTGTTTTCACCTCCCTACCCACCTAACCACCACCCGCACCTCGGGCTCTGCATCGATAGCGTCTGCCCCGCGGTATCTGAGAAGATGAACTCCAGAGAAGAAGTGCGGAGCCCCGAACCCGGGCTCCCAACCCCAGCTGGAGCGGGACAATCAAGCCGAAACAAACGCTTCACGAGACTCTGTGCACGGCTGCACCGCCAGGGCTTCGGGCGCACTGCACGATCTGGGGACGCCGGCCTCTTGGTGCCACAGTTCCCGCCTCGCCCTGGAGCCGCCCTCCAAGCCCGCTATCTCCCCGCGTCCAGCCCTCGCTCACCTGCCTCCCTAAGCGCTCCGGGCAGCTGCTCCCACCACTGCTGTCTCCGGCTCTGGCCTTCCGGGGCCCACGTCGGGGCTGGGGAGCTCACCCGGAAGCAGCTCCTCCACCGCCCGCCCCCTCCACCGTGCAGGCCACGCCCCCTGAAGGCCCGCTTCAGAGGGCTCCTCCACTCCAGCCGCGGCCCCGCCCACGCGCCCCGAGGTCTGGCCAATCGGGTGAGCCGAGGGCCTGGCAGGCCCGCCCATCCCCGCTCCGGGGGCCCGCGCTTGTGCTCAGGAGGGATCCCACCGGGGCCGCAGGAGCAGCGTGGGAGGGTCTCTGGACGTGAGCCGGCCTCGGAGGCGGTTACAACCCGAGGTTCCTTTCACAGCCCTCCTCTTCCCAGCCTAGGGCAAACTTGGCGCTGGTTAATGGTTTGGTAAAAGAGTAATTAGATGTCAAAGCCCTTAGAACAGCACCATTATGCTTAACACAATATTAGCGAAGTCCATTTTTGCAGACTAAGCGTTTTAAAGTTATTGCGTTCAGCGCCAGACTTCTAAGTTTTCAGAGAAAATTTGTTCCAGCGTAATTAACTTCTCAGGGACGACAGTGCTATGTATGAGTTGAGAGATGTGATGTGAAAGACATGGGCGTTTAGGAAAACTCCAAGTCTGATAGGGGCATCAGACCTATGATGGGTATAATGAAAGATCCGACCAAAGGTCTGTAGGGGAGTTGGAGCAGAGTATGTGCGGGCTCAGGAGGGATCTGGTGAGGCTTATGGGGCCTGGGTAAACTAGGAATCGGATGGGTAAAGTAGCGATCAGGGATCATCGCCCTAGTGAAGGAATGCCTTTGACGTGGTTCTTCAGGGATTATTGAAAAATTGACTTTGAAATGTAGAGGACACTAGTGGGTTATATTGAACTTATTCTCAGATTTTATTTCTCGGCCGGGTGTGGTGGCTCATGCCTGTAATACCAGCTCTTTGGGAAGCAGAGGTGGGCAGATCTCTTGAGGTCAGGAGTTCGAGACCAGCCTGACCAACATGGTGAAACCCTGTCTTTACTGAAAATATAAAAAATTAGCTGGGTGTGGTGGTGGGCTCCTGTAATCCCCCACTACTCTGGATGCTAAGGCAGGAGAATCCGTTGAACCCGGGAGGCGGAGGTTGTAATGGGCTGAGATCATGCCACCACACTCCAGCCTGGGTGACAGAGGAAGACTCTATCTTAAAAACAAACAAAAAGATTTTTAAATATTTATTTTTGCTTTTGTTTTCCAAAAGCATAGTTTTTATTTACATAGAGTCCTAACCACTTCAGCAAAAGGAGCAGGAGAGGCTCCTTTTTCAATACAGGGACCTCCATAATGTTGGTTTGTTGTTACCAAACACACAGGTTTAAGTGGCATCATGGATCTGGTAAACGACAGTGTTTAGTCTCTCTCTGCTAGAGCAACAAAGTGAGCGTCAATCTCTGCTTCTGTAAGAATCCTGAATTTAGAATTTTCAACTGTCACTACTCTGACTTCTATTTCTGAAGGTTTGAAATCGATAGAACAGTAGACAGGCATGTAACTGCGGTTTCCACTGCCCGTTCAAATGTCCCATCAAATTTCTTCACTTTTTTTCAAGGAAGCTGGTTGACTCAGTTGTTTTAACTCCCGCTGCAGTGGCTTTAAACCCACAGTAGTAATCTGCAGGATCACACTTACATGCCTGACAGCCTTGCTCTTGATCTACACCAATTAAAATCATACAACAACCAAGAGGCCTCATTTCAGCATTCTGTGTGTAGGCCTGAGAAATATCTGCAATTCGTTTACACCGCGTGTCCACAGGAATCTCACAGCCATATTTGCATTTCCAGTTAGCTGCCTCGCCCTCTCATTCCGGTCATCACACAACCAGTGTTTTCCGTTATCTTGAATAAGTGAGTCACTGTGCTGGAAGCCATTTGTCAGGTACTTTATTCTGCATGACAATTACTGCACAGCCTTTCCTTCTGACAGCTACTGATGTCTTAATAGCCTTAAAAGCATATTCTACTTAGTAGAGCCGACCCTCAGGTGAAAAATGGTAATGTGGTGGTCAAAACTGGTGCCGGAACCAAGGGACATGTTGGTAGAATCACTACTTCAAACATAATCCCTGGGCCCCGGAGCTCCCGCACCAGGCGTACAACATTTTATTTCTCAAAATCTGTACCCCAAACCTGTCATATACTTTATATTTTAAATTTAAAGGGCACAGCAGCTTAAGGCTAGGGAAATATGACATTGCTTAGTTTCCAGCTACTAGAGTTCTGATCTGTGTTCAACAAGGAAGGGGATAGAAAAGAACTAATGTTGCTTTGTATCAAAGAGTCAGGGACAGTACCATGCATTTTACATTCATTTGTCTAATCTTGACAGTAGCAATGTTACTATTCTCACTTTCCAGATTAGAAAAACAATTGCAAGCTAGATTAAGTAATTTGCTCCATGTTACACTGGGCTCTCTCTGCAATGCCTGCTAATAACCACGCTCCATAGGGGCAAGTATTATTTATTTTTTCCTAGATTCCCTGGCCAGTATTTCTTTCCTGATACCTGTTCCCTCCCCAAGGTTATTGATAACTAAAAATAATTAAAACCATCATTAGATCTAATAGCTTTTTCCTTCACAGTAGAGACATCCTTTCTTAATTCCTGTGAGCATTACTCAGCTCCTCTGGCTTCCTTAAGCTCAGTCCCCTGCCTCATCTCTGCTTCCCCTAGTTTTCTCTGTGTGATTACTTGGCACGTGGATCTTCCTGGAGCATTGCTGGGTTACAGACTCTCCTGTTTCCTATTAAATCAAATCTATACTTAAACCTACTATTCAAAGCCTGCATGAGAAGGGCTTACCCTGCTACGTATTTTAACCTGCCACTCTTTAACAAGGCTGTGTGCTCTAGTTAACAATCCGCAAAAGAACTCTCCTTCCAAACAGCTTTAGTTAATTCTGCCCCATTCATCACCAAACTTGGACTGTTTCCTGAGAATAGGGACTATGACTTTAAAACTGCAGAATTTAACAACTGGGAAAAATCTTTGACATCATCCACCAGTTTTTCCCCACCACGCCTCTTATCATTACTAGAGTGGTATCTGGACTTTTCAAATTCTTTACTAGGCTAAGGTCATGTCTCACCATTTTTTTTTTTTTTTTTTTTTTAGGCAGAGTCTCCCTTTGTCACCCAGGCTGCAGTGCAGTGGTAGGATCTCAGCTTGCTGCAACCTCTGCCTCCCGGGTTCAAGTGGTTCTCCTGCCTCAGCCTCCTGAGTAGCTGGGATTACAGGTGTGCACTACCACGCCCGGAATTTTTGTATTTTTAGTAGAGATGGGGTCTTACCATGTTGGCCAGAATGATCTCGATCTCCTGACTTCATGATCCACCTCCCTCAGTCTGCCAAAGTGCTGGGATTACAGGCCTGAGCCACCACTCCGGACAATGTTTCACTTTTTAACCGTGGCCCAACCCATTCAAAGCTACTTTTGCAGCCTTACGTCCTATTTTTACTGATAGGAAATTGAGGTTCTTCAGAGAGAAGTGACTTGCTCAAGATCTTATCACTAATTTATGAAAGCTGGGATCCTGTTCCACTGATGTTTGGCCTTGCTCCTATTTTTTCAAATAAGCTTTTTATATTTCAACAGTTTCTCTACTTATGTCCTTTTTCGATTACAGGGGCCAACCCAGAATACCACATTGCATCTAGTGAACTCACTTTTTAAGACTGAGATGAGCCAGGCGCGGTGGCTCAAGCCTGTAATCCCAGCACTTTGGGAGGCCGAGGCGGGTGAATCACGAGGTCAAGAGATCGAGACCATCCTGGTCAACATGGTGAAACCCCGTCTCTACTAAAAATACAAAAAATTAGCTGGGCATGGTGGCGTGTACCTGTAATCCCAGCTACTCAGGAGGCTGAGGCAAGAGAATTGCCTGAACCTAGGAGGCGGAGGTTGCGGTGAGCCGAGATCGCGCCATTGCACTCCAGCCTGGGTAACGAGAGTGAAACTCTGTCTCAAAAAAAAAAAAATTGAGATGAAATTAAAGAACATATAATTAACCATTTTTGGCCAGGTGTGGTGGCTCACACCAGTAATCCAGCACTTTGGGAGGCCGAGGCAGGCAGATCACCTGAGGTCAGGAGTTCAAGACCATCCTCCCCACTCCCCCCTCCCAAATCCAAATCAGAATCTCTGGGCATGAAGGGCCATGGTTGTATCTTTGTGAAATGTTATTTATAAATTTATGATATGAAAAAGCTATGTAGATTTGGGCTGGGCATGGTGACTCATGCCTATAACCCCAGCACTTTGGGAGTCCGAGGTGTGCAGATCACAGGGGTTCTCGACTAGCCTGGACAACATGGTGAAATCCGTCCCTACTAAAAATAGAAAAATCAGCCAGGTGTGGTGGCGCAGGGCTGTAATGGTAGCTACTTGGGAGGCTGAGGCAAGAGAATAGCTTGAACTCAGGAGATAGAGGTTGCAGTGAGCAGAGATTGCACCATTGCCCTCTAGCCTGGTTGACAGAGCAAAACTCTTGTCTCAAAACACAAACAAACAAAAAAACCCTATGTAAATTAGATAGGTAAGATAGCACTGTGGTTAAGAGATAATAGAGGTAACAGCAGTGCTACTTAATAGGGTCTAAGAGTTAATACTTGAGGCTGGGTGCAGTGGCTCATGCCTATAATTCCAGTATTTTGGGAGGCTGAGGCAGGGGAGTTGCTTGAGCCCAGGAATTTGAGATCAGCCTGGACAACATAGCCAGACCCTGTCTCAAATGAAAAAAAAAAAAAAAAAAAAAAAGTAAAAAAGGGTTAATACTTGAAAGCATTTAGATAGTGCAACACAGTAGGGGCTTTACAAATGAAGTTGCTGAGAATCTAGTATGTACAGGTGCCCAGCAGATCCATCAAAAGCTCTTGCAGCAGGTGTGGTGGCTCATGCACTTCGGGAGGCCGAGGCAGGCGGATCACCTGAGGTCAGGAGCTTTGAGACCAGCCTAGCCAACATGTTGAAACTGTCTCTACTAAAATTATAAAAATTAGCTGGATATGGTGACACACACCTGTAATCTCAGCTATTTGGGAGGTTGAGGCAGAAGAATCGCTTGAACCTGGGAGGTGGAGGTTGCAGTGAGCCGAGATCACACCACTGCACTCCAGCCCTGGCGACAGATTGAGACTCTTGTCTCAAAACAAACAAACAAACAAAAAAAACCCCAAAACAAAAAAACGCTTTTGTAGTTCAGAGCCCTTACCTGTGAATGAGCAGCACCTACTGGTCATCCAAGGCGATGCAGGATCTCATGTTTTCAAAGGTCTTGCCAAGTCCATACCCCAAAAACTGTATGGAGAGTATCATCAGGAATTCTCTCCAAAAACACACTATGAACAAGCAGGATGAAACAGGAGGCATCATTTTTTTTTAAACAAGAGTGTTCTTTATTTGTACAAAGCATTACAATCTTCTCAGCATTCTTCACTCACAAACTTTCCACTGCATTTATTTAGCAAGTTAACAGTGTCAAACTACACGTCACTACCTGTCAAACCCCAAGCGCTCAACTTAGAGAGAAAGGAAAAGTGCTTGGAGCACTGACTGGAAACAGAAAAAGGCTAAGAAAGGCCAACAAACAGAGAGATTCTGGAAGCAGTTGAAGAGGGCGGTTTAGGGAGAGTTAGATTCCTGAGCACCATTAGATTTCCCTTAAGGTTTCGAGGGGCTTCACAATCACAAGGTAATTTTTAGAAGACATGAGACGAAATTAGCCGGGCTTGGTGGCACACATCTGTAGGCCCAGATACTCAGGAGGCTCAGTGGGGAGGATCACTCGAACCCAGGAGTTCAAGGATGCAGTGAGCTATGATCATGCCACTGCACTCCAGCCTGGGCCACAGAATGAGACCCCATCTCTTAAACAAAACAAAACAACCATGAGATTAGAACTAAGTAATCAAAAGATCAGAGGAACTCACACTTTGGAGTATTAAGCAGGTAATCAAAGCTCCTAGACTGACAGAAGTGAGAAAAGGAGGGAAAGGAGAAAGTGGGATGGGGAGCAGAGGAGAAGCAGAAGACAGAAAGGAAACAGGAGGCACAGAGGGAGAAAGCTGTGACGAGAGGCAATAGTTTGGAACTCATCATGAATTGAAGAATGAAAAGCCACAGTCACAAGTCTGGGAGATGGACTACAAGAAGAGGAAGCCTGGGGTTTTACACCTTCCAGGAGGTGATGACAAATCGTAAAGCTGTACAGTAGCCGATAGAAGGAACATCTAACACTACGCCATCTGTTTTTGTAAAAGTAAGACACTGGCACCCTGGCTTGACTAATACCATTCTATAGTGCAAAGTTAAGAACATTTGTGACCAGATTACCACCACCCAGCAGGTCGAACATCTACAGGCAATACAGAAAGGTTTTGAGCCAAGTGCGTCTATGAAAAACAAACTTCAGTTAATGCTTCAGTCAAGTGAAGAGACAGAACAGATTTTGTTATTCTTCCACAGCATTCTAGTGGTTTCCTAAAGCTTACAAATTCTGACCAGTCTTAGTAAGCTATTATTGTCAAAGACTGTGCAATCAAACACAGGCTGACCATAAGCAAAGCCCCAATTTTTCCTGAGCCTTGGCTGCCTCTGTAATCTGAAATGCAGCAGGCAGCATGGAAGTTATTAACTTACGTGGGGCAATGAGGAAGACTGTGGATCAAAAACCACCTAACCATACATATAAGTAACCGAAAGTGATCAAACGGATTCATTTAGCTGTTCAGAATCCCTCTTGTCAAAAAGTCATAACCTTCAGATTGATAAAGCAAAACAGGGCTCTGCTACTCAGATGCTCTGAGTTTGGGAAGTGCTGGTTTTTATGGTATTTCTAGCCAGTTTTTATTCTGAATCTTTTCAGGCCCTTCGGCCTGAGACTGCTCTGCCTCACATGGAAAAGCTTCATAGAAACATGTAGCACATCACATCTCAAGTGGTACCTTCCGAGGTGCCACAGTCTCCCGCCCTATTCAGTTGTCTACTTCCTCCTCTTCATTCTGTTCTTCTTCTTCCAGTCTTTCTTCGTCTTCATCATTGTCCTCATCCCGGCTCTTGTCTTGTTCTTCAGAGTCTGTTTTTTTGTCTTTGTCTTTCTTCTTTTGCTCTGAGGCCTCCTTCTTGCCTTTCTGCTCCCGCCTATATGCTATAAGGAAGAAAGAAGGGGTTAGGAGAAAGAGCTGAAAGAGTGAGTCCGACAGACTGCAGCAGCTAACTGCATTGTACAATTGGAAAAATGGAGGCAGATGGGCCCAGTGGCTCATGCCTGTAATCCCAGCACTTTGGGAGGCTAAGGTGGGTGGATCACCTGAGGTCAGAAGTTCAAGACCAGCTTGGCCAACATGGTGAAATCCTGTCTCCACAAAATTACAAAAATTAGCCGGGCACAGTGGTGTGCACCTGTAGTCCCAGCTACTCAGGAGGCTGAGGTAAGAGAATTGCTTGAACTCAGGAGGAGACTGGAGTGAGCCGAGATCCCACCACTGCACTCCAGCTTGGGTGATAGGGCAAGACTCTGTGGTGCCCACTGAACTGGGTTGAGTCACATCAAGTGCTGGCTTACTGGACTTAAAGGGACCCACGCTCTGAAAGGCTCAGGGCTGGATGAACAGGCCAAACAGAAGGACCATCTTCTGTGTGGTTTAGAAGACAGGAGGCTTATTACCTTCTAGAGCTTCTTTTAATGGGGTAACGAACCGCTGGAACTCCATCTCTTCCATGGCTGACAGCACATCACTGGCATTCAGGGTCTTGCGCTTTCCTTTCATTGCAAAGTTGTTGGCACTGGGAGGAGAGAAAGGCTGTCAGACTCCCTCTTGCGCGTGAGGGGTGGGTGGGAAAAGGAGCACCCAGAGGTGGGACGGGAAAGCATGCATGGATTTTGGTATCACAGGGTTAAGTCCTTCCCTTCTCCGCACAGAAAAGCTAAAGCAAAGTCATTTTGTTGTTTTTTTGCTTCAGAACTTTTAAGAATTGGCAGAGGACTGTGAACCTCTCCCCACCGAGGGAGGACACAATCGTTGGGGTTTGTGGGCTCCCGGTCAGGAACTCCTAGCCAGGTATCCCCGCACCTCCCTTATGCCTCTGCCCGGCTCACCAGGATGTGGCGTACAGCACGAAGACGCTGGCGGCGCGAGAGATGGCGCTCCGGGCCTCCTTAGAGATGTTGACACCGTCCGGGAGCTGCGAGGAGACCGAGGGTAAGCAAAGCTGCCGCTCCAGGACCTGCTTCCCTCTTGCCCGCTCGTCCGCCCCCCGACCCCCCGAGCTGCTCACCGCCTCCTTGATGATCCTGGTGATGACAGCGTTGGGCAGGTTTAGGTCCTCCGGCCTTTCCGCCATTGCCGCCGCCGGCGCTGAGCCTCCCCCTCGCCTCTGTTTCGGGCAGCTACTGCGTCCGGACTTCCCGCGTCGCTACGGTCTGACCCACCCGGGCTTCCGTCCCGCCCCACGTGTCCCACAGTGTCCCACAGTGCCCCGCGCGCCATGGCCTCCCTGCTTTCCCAGCCCCGCCTCCTCCTCAAATGCCGGCGCATCCAGACTTTGAAGCCTCAGTGGTTTTGGCCCGTCGAGGCTTCATCCAACACCAGCGCACCCCGCACGTCCATCCCCAGGTCAGTTTCTCTGCTTCTTGCCTTCGTCGCGTCGGGAACCTTCGCACCAACTTAATGTGGCCCAATGGAGCTTCCGTCTGTTTCCCATGGTGCTCTGCGCCGCTGCTTGGCGACGGCGCGGGCGGGGCGTAGCGCGCAGGAGACGAAGGCGTGGCTGACTCAGCTGGGCGGGTCCCCTTAGACCCAGAGGCGGACTCTGGGCGGCCCGCTCAGTTAACGTACTCTCCACGCCGCTAGGGACCGCGTTTCCCGCTTGGTTTCGCAACCCTATGCGGTTTCGAATCTGCTTTGCTCTTGCGGGACCTCAGCCCCGCGTGGTTAGATTCTCCCATTTTTTTTTTTCTTTCCTGGAATGAAACGGGAAGTCTTTTTCCATCTCTACCAAAGTTGATGTTCGTTTCTAGTCTTTTCGCCCCTCACACCTTAACGACGGTACTAAGAATGAGTGTTATTTAGGTGTTTTTGGTTGTTGTTTGTTTTTAACGCGAACTATTTAGGCAGCCCAGGGATAATGCTGGCTATATAGAGATGCACCTGATTAGGCCCGGGGGTTTAATTCGGGCTGGGCAGGTAACGAAAGGGCGAGAAGCAGCTTTTTTGTTGCAGGAAGAATGCAACGTCACTTTCGCTTTCAAAAACAAACCTTGTTAAAATTGTATTTATTTTTCAGTTAAATTGTTCATCATACATTTTTTTCTAGTTAAAACAGTTCTCAAGATTTGCAATGGCATTTTGTTTTTAAGTCATTTTCATATTAAGTACGTAGAAATTCTCAGTCCCACTGATTTTTTTTTTTTTTTTTTTTTTTTTTTGGCGGGATCTCACTCCGGCCCAGGCTGGAGTGCAGCACACGGTCTGGGCTCTCTTCAGCTTCGACCTCCCTGGCTCATGTGGTCTTCCCACCTCAGCCCCCAGGTAGCTCTTCTACAGGTGCGTTCCATCACACACAGCTGATTTTTTGTATTTTTCATAGAGAGAGGGTTTCACCATGTTGCCCTTGCTGGACTCGAACTCTAGGGCTCAAGGGATTCACCCTCGGCCTCCCAGAGTGTTGGGATTACAGATGTGAGCCACCGCGCCGGCCTCAGAGAGAGAATTAATGCTGCTCTTTTCCCTTCAAGCATGCAGCCTCAAGTTGCCCATTAGTTTTCCTGCTTTCGGTAGAGGCCTGTTTACAGAGAAATGTTTAAAAACAAAAGAGCAAATGCTGTGATAAATGGCAACTAAAAGTACTTCAATTAGAGACCTTAAGGTCTGGTGGGGGAATTCCCTTTGGATAGAATAGACCTGGCTGAAAACTTCAGAGCTTCTCAGCGCTAGTCAGTTGTTGTTCAGCTGGAATTGGCCCCAGTGTTGCCAAGTATTTTGGTCCCTAAAAGGAGCCAGAAATTCGGACACTGGGCTATTTCAATTTTAAGATAGGTTCAAAGTGCCAGCCAAACAAAACAAGTCATAGGCCAGGTGCAATCCCAGGCTGATAGTTTATCTTTTTTTTGAGACAGAGTTTCGCTCTTGTTACCCAGGCTGGAGTGCAATGGCGCGATCTCGGCTCACCGCAACCTTCGCCTCCTGGGTTCAGGCAATTCTCCTGCCTCAGCCTCCTGAGTAGCTGGGATTACAGGCACGCAGCACCATGCCCAGCTAATTTTTTGTATTTTTAGTAGAGACGGGGTTTCACCATGTTGACCAGGATGGTCTCGATCTCTTGACCTCGTAATCCACCCACCTCGGCCTCCCAAAGTGCTGGGATTACAGGCGTGAGCCACCGGCCCGGCCCGATAGTTTATCTTTGATCTAAATTATAAAGTGTTTAGAACAAGGAGTTTGTTTATTACTGTTCATGTCCAAAGCAGGTCTCCTCACATATTTAGTAATAAATGTGTTGAATGAAAGAAAGAAATGGACACCATCCTTTAAAAGTTCTTAGGGATAAAGTGGTAGTTAGTGATTGCCTAAAACACCTCTAGGTGTTTTCTAGGAAAAGATGAATATATTTATTGAGCACCTCCCATCTATAAAAGTACATTATCTCATTTAATGCTTCTGCAGTCTTTAGGGATTCCCCTCCTTCTGCTTATTTTATTTATTATTTTTTGTAGAGAGGGGTAACTCATCTTGGCCTACCAAAGTGCTGTGATTACTGACCTGAGCCACCACGCCAGGACCCCTCCTCCTACTTTAGAGAGAGGTGTAAAGTCACTTGTTCAAGGCCATATGGCCAATAAATGAAAACTAATGGCCTCTGATGCAACTGGGAGTGTCTAGTGATTTGCTGTTTGAGCAAACGCATTCATTGCTGGTGGGTATTTGATCTGCCTTCATAAGAACCGAAGCACGTTGGAAAAGGAAACATATCTTTCAGGAGTGCGGGTCTTCTAAGATGCTCTGTGACTGCTTTGGTCGTAATTTGATAATGTGTTTTGGAGATGGTGGCATCTTCTCCCTGATAACGAAAGGGAAAAGGAAAGGATGCAAATATTTATTTGGAACAATATGCCAGGCTTTTACTATCCATTAACTAATTTTTGTAATGACCCTGTGAAATAAGCTTATCCTCATTTTACAGTTAAGGCAAGAGGCTCAGACTGGTTAAGTCCCAGGTCACTCTGTTGTTAAAGAGCCAATTAGGAGACTCGAAGTCATTCTGCTCTCAAACTCTTGCCATTCTACCTCATGCTGAGATATTTCCATACTTGCTTGTCACCCAGTCTTTAATTGTTTTGTGGCCATCATTTACCCGTGTAGGTTCAATAGAAATATTTTCTACTTTGAGTTCAAATTAAGATCTGGACTGTATGGCTAATGTATAATACTCCTCAATTATGTGGTGGTTGATTTTCCAGAGGACTAGAATGTTGCAGGGTTGGCCTTTGTCCTAAACCGTTTCTAGGTATGGACTTGCCAGACGAGAGCCAGTGGGATGAAACCACCTGTGGCTCGGCTGTTTGTCAGCATCCACAATGCTGGGCAACTATCCGCCGCATCGAGAGGGGCCATCCTCGGATCCTCAGCTCACCTTGCAAAACTCCCCCGGATGCTGAAGGTGAATTAACCAGCTTCTGTCTTCTCCCTTACAAGGTTTTTTTTTTTTTTTGAGACGGAGTTTCGCTCTTGTTACCCAGGCTGGAGTGCAATGGTGCCATCTCGGCTCACCGCAGCCTCCGCCTCCTGGGTTCAGGCAATTCCCCTGCCTCAGCCTCCTGAGTAGCTGGGATTACAGGCACGAGCCACCATGCCCAGCTAATTTTTTGTATTTTTAGTAGAGACGGGGTTTCACCATGTTGACCAGGATGGTCTCGATCTCTCGACCTCGTGATCCACCCGCCTCGGCCTCCCAAAGTGCTGGGATTACAGGCTTGAGCCACCGCGCCCGGCCTACAAGGTTCTTAATCTGTTCATGTATGTGGCTTCCTTTCTCCAGGCAGCATGTTAACACCCTTTCTTCTGGTCTGCCTCTTCAGATAAACTCCCAGTGCTCACCGTGGTAAACATCCCAGATTCCTGCTTTGCACCTCGTCATTTGCCAGAATGTACCTTTACTAAGACCCGTACTTTATTGTCTCAGAGTTCAAAATTTTACTCCAAATTTCAAGGCAGGTAAATTATCACAGAATCTTCATTTGACAGCCGATTGTCTTAAAATTCTGGGTTATGATTTTCCTTATCCATATAGTATACTTTAAGAAAGCCAGATTAAAAATACTAATTTTGGTTAAAGAACTGGTGAATAGGCAGTGGGAAACAGAAAGAAACTCTGTGCTCTAGGAATTGCTTAATTTGGGAGGTATATTGGTTCGCTAGGGCTGTCGTAACAGAATACCATAGACTGGGTGGCTTAAACAGCAAAATTAATTTTCTTTTTTTCTTTTTTTGAGACGGAGTTTCACTTTTGTTACCCAGGCTGGAGTGCAATGGCGCGATCTCGGCTCACTACAACCTCCGCCTCCTGTGTTCAGGCAATTCTCCTGCCTCAGCCTCCTGAGTAGCTGGAATTACAGGCACGTGCCACCATGCCCAGCTAATTTTTTTTTGTATTTTTAGTAGAGACGGGGTTTCACCATGTTGACCAGGATGGTCTTGATCTCTTGACCTCGTGATCCACCTGCCTCGGCCTCCCAAAGTGCTGGGATTACAGGCTTGAGCCACCGCGCCCGGCCAAGATTGTTTTCTTTTGAGGCCACTCTTGGTTTGTAGATGATAATTTTTTTCCCCCTGTCTTTTTTATTTATTTCCTGTTTTTTTGAGACAGGGTCCCACCTTGTTACCCAGGCTGGACTGGAGTGCAATGGTGTGATCATAGCTCACTGCAGCCTCAACTGTGCAGCCTCAACTGTCCAGGCTCAAGTGATCTTCCCACTCCAGCCTCCCAAATAGCTGGGACTACAAGTGTGCACCAACATGCCTGGCTGATTTTTTTTACTTTTATTAGAGATGAGGTCTTGCTTTGTTGGCTGGGCTGGTCTTGAACTCCTGGCCTCAAGTGATCCTCCTGTCTTGGCCTCCCAAATTGTTGGGATTACAGACATGAGACACCATACCGGGCCTCTCTCCCTGTGTCTTAACATGGTCTTCCCTCTGTGTGTCTGTGTCTTAATTTCTTCTTACAAGGACACCAGTCTTACTGAGTGAGGGCCCACCCATGTGACTTCATTTTTACTTTAATTACTTTTCTAAAGACCGTATCTCCAAATACCGTCAAATTCTGAAGTACTAGTTAGGACTTCCCCAACAGATGAATTTTGGGAGGAGACAATTCAACCCATCTTATCAGCGTCTGTAGATCAGAAAACTGTCCCTATATGTATACTGTTTTCTTTTCTTTTTTTTTTTGACACAGAGTCTCACTCTGTCATCCAGGCTGGAGTCCAGTGGTGCGACCTCTGCCTCCCAGGTTAAGCAATTCTTGTGCCTCAGCCTCCCGAGTAGCTGGGATTACAGGCATGTGCCACTACACCTGGCTGAGTTTTATATTTTTAGTAGAGAAGGAGTTTCGCCGTGTTGGCCACGCTGGTCTTGAACTCCTGACCTCAAGCGATCCACCCACCTTGGCCTCCCAAAGTGCTGGGACTACAGGTGTGAGCCACCATGCCCAACCCTGTCTTTCTATTTCTTTTTTTTTGGTGGGGTACAGGGTCTTTCTCTGTCACCTAGGCTAGAGTGTAATGGCATGATCTTGGCTCACTGCAACCTCCACCTCCCAAGTTTAAGCGATTCCCCAGTCCCAGCCTCCCGAGTAGCTGGGACCACAGGCATGCACCACCATGCCTGGCTAATTTTTCTTTTTTTTATATAGACAGGGTTTTGCCATGTTGCCTAGGCTGGTCTCGAACTCCTGAGCTCAAAGTGTTCCACCCACCTCAGCCTCCTAGAGTGCTGGGATTACAGGTGTGATACACTGTGCCCGGCCCCCGTCTTTCTATAATAACATTTTATTTTTAGGTATGAAACTGTAAGCTACTAAAGGAAGAAGCAGTAGCTTTTTTTTTTTTTCCTTGAGTCTCCTAGGTACCCAATGAGTGCTTGCTGATACATGAAACTAAGGGACAGGTATTTGTGGAAAACTTAGACTTAAAAACTTGAAATACTTTGTTACCTGGAATCAAAGCACTAGTGGTGGCTCTTGTGGTAGTTTCTTTTCTCCTGTTATTTAAGTAGCCCCTGATGATTTATCTTAGGCTGACAATAGTATAGGAAGGAGTATGAGTATTTTCAGGATAAGCAGAGATGTTTCTCAGTCAGGACCTATGATGTGCTTCACATTCACACCCAGAGACACACTCCGCCCCTGCATGCCTGCCGTGCGAAGAGCTGTGAGAGAGCTGCCTCCTCTACTCAGTTCCCTGTTCCCATGTCTTCTTCCTTCGGTGTGTCTTGCTTTGTGCTTCACATTCTCTATTGGAGACCAGTTCCTCATGACATGTTGGGTGTTTGCAGTGGCTTCCGAATTGGCTTCCCTGCCTTTTCCCCTTGAAGCTGTTTTGCTGTGGCCAACAGATTAATCTTCCAAAAATACTGCTTTGTTCATTTCCTTGCTTGAAAAGCCCCTTCATCAGCATTTTGTTTACTAGAGAACAGACCCAAACCTCCCGACTCTGAACTGGTGGCCTCGCTCTTTACTGTCTGGCTTATCTAATCAGAGTCCTCTCTTCTTGAACACCAACTTTTCCTCTATGCCAGACTGGTTTTCTGATTGTGATTTTCTGTCTCTGACACTTTGCTCGTGCAGTTTCCTTGCCCTTAATGCCTTCTTCCCTCCTGTCTGCTTCATTAAGTGCCTGACCTGGCCTGTAAGGCCCTATGAGATCCAGCTTTTCTAGTGGCCCTCACCTCGCATTTCTCCCGTCTTGTTTAATAGGTTCGGGCCACTCTGTTCCCTCAATTCCTCATATACTCCACACCTCCCACCCCAGGGCTTACACACCTACTGTTTCCTCTGAGTGAAACAGTTTTCCCTTCAATTAAGTTATTACTATTTTTTAAAATGCTATTGACATTTGGGCCAAGATAATTCTTTGTCCTTTGGGGGTATCTTGTGCATTATCTGATTTTAGCTACTTCCCTCACTTCTACGCATTGAATACGAGTAGTACCCTACCTCTAGTTATGGCAACCAGAAATGCCTCAGACATTACCAGATGTCCCCTGGGGGCAAAATTGCCCCCTGGTTGGGAAATACTGCCCTAGATCCTTCCAGCTAGTTCCTTTTGGTCATTCGAGTTTAAGCTTAAATGTTGTTTTTTCACAGAAGTCTCCCTTGACCAATCTGTTTAAAATTTCCCTATACCCTCATTATCATTTAACCGAGTATCTTTTTTCCTCAGTTCTTCTGATCTCAGATGATTTTTGTTGATTCATTTGCCACTTCTCATGAGAATGTCAGTCCCTGCAAGAGCAGGGACTTTCTCGTAGGGAGAGAGTGAGTTTGTTTTGTTGGCTGCTCTGTCTCCTATTTCTTCACCAATGCTTGACAAACAGTGGAAGCACAGTAAGTATTTGTCGAATTAGAGAATATGTTCTTTTCTTCTGTCACGGTCGAGTTTCCTCATTTCCCACTAGCCTTGGATGTTCTCTCTTCCAAACTACCCCAGCACTTACAGTCCCCGGCATGCTTATTGATATTTTTATGTTTATGTCCTGTTTGTCCAACTGGATTTTAGGCCCTTTGAAGGCAGGGACCATGACATTTGTTTAGTCATTCAATTCACAACTGTATTTTAGTGGGGGCCACTGTGATGAATGCTGGGGATACAACAGTAAACAACATACAGTCTTTGCCCTCAAGGGACTTTCAGCCTAGTTGGGGAGGCAAAGAAATAGGCAGGCCGTATGATGAGTGTCATGAGAGGACTGCCCCGTGGGTTTGTGGAAACACCAGAAAGGGTTCCCAAGCCAGGGCGCTGTCTTCTGTGTAAGTGGCGTCTGTGCCTAGACCGGAAGTCTGAGCTGTCTATCTAGTGAAGTGGGGGTTGTAGGTGGAGGGTAGGCAGGAATAGTGTTCTAAACCATAGGAATAGCATATGCAAAGGCTTAGAGGCAAGAGGAACTTCTGTCTGTATCAGGAAAATAGTTCACTGTGCTTAGAACATAGAGCAGGAATGGAAGAGTGATCAAAGAGAAGGCTGGGGAGCTAGACAGGAAGCAGGAACCTATGTAGGACTTCATAAATCAGGCAATCAGGCTGAGTGTTAGGTCTTTATCTTTTTTTTTTTTTAAACTCCTCTTACTATCATTCCTAAAGGTCTTTATCATTTACCTTTTTACATTATTCATTTATCCATGCATGTAACATGTCTTTTAAAAAATAAGAAAAATAGCAAGTGATAGGAAAATATAAGGATATGAGGCTTTTTTTTTTTACTGTGGTAAATACATACATAACAAAAATGGAACATTTTAGCCATTTTTAAGTGAACAATTCATTACCATTAAGTACATTCATAATGTACATCCATCACCACTATCCATTTCCAGAACATTTTCATCATGCCAAACAAAAACTGTATCCATTAACAGCAACTCCCCATTCCCTCCTCTTCCTAGCCCTGGGTGATCTCTATTCTATTTTCTGTCTTAATGAACTTGTCTGTTTTAAGTACCTCTTATAAGTGGAATCACACAACATTTGTCCTTTTGTGTCTGGCTTATTTCACTTACTATAATATTTCCAGTGTTACAGTCCCTCCTTATTTGCAGGAAATATATTCTAAGACCCCCACTGGATGCCTGAAACTGTGAATAGTACAAAACCCTTATTTACTATGTTTTTACATATACATACATACCTATGGTAAAGTTTAATTTATAAGTTAGGAACAGTAAGAGATTAACAACAATAAGATAGAACAATTATAATATGCTGTAATAAAAACTCATGGTGTGAATGTGGTCTCTTGTGGTCTCTCTCTCTCTGAAAATACCTTACTTATAGGTGCTCACCTATTTTCAGACCATAGTTGACTGTGGGTAAGCGGAACCATGGATAAAGATCTACTGTATCAGAATTTCATGACTTTTTAAAGCTGAATGATACTCTATTGTATGTGTATAATGCATTTTGTTTATTTAACATATTTTGAGCATCTTCATAAAAGGTTCTTAATAAACTTTTATTGATGGTGATATAACTGTCTCTAGCTGGAGGGAAGAGCAGGCTATGAATTCCATTTGATGGAACAAATAGTTGTGAAGTATTTGCAGTGTGCAATGTCTGTTTAGTTGCTGTTTCAGGAAAAACAAACAAACAAACAAAACTTAAAATTATGGTGAGACCCTACATTCATTGGGTAAGCATTAAGCCCAAGGTTTTCTGTAGATAAGTAGAAGGGTTTCCTTGTAGCACTAACTTTATCATTCCAATAAGTCTTTTGTGTTTCTGTTTTATGTGTGGAACTCATTTTTTAGGCCTCCGAGGGGTTTACCTGACAAAAGTTTGATCAGCTGTGCTAATAGACTTCTCAAAGTAAGTCACAGGTTTAAAAGGTACTTCCTCAACATTTTTTCTTTGCTAGTGGAAATAAACTATTTTGCTTTTAATTGAAATTATTCCTCAGAAGGACTATAATCTGAATAGTAATGTTGATAGTAACTGTCTAATATTGGGCTTCTATGCTAGACTCTGTGCTATCTACATGCCATATTGTCTTCAGAAATCCTAGAAGCAAGTGGGATTGATTTGTATAGGTTTGGTGTAGCTGAGAATTTTCTGCATAGAACATGTTCAGCTACTCATTAAATACTGTCATCTAATAATCAGGGAAAATGGAATGCTGGAATGTCAGACCTAAATAGGCCTTAAGGTCATCTCATCTGATGACTTGCAAACTTTTAGCTATGATCTACAGTAAGAAAAAGATTTTACAACAAGAATATCATGGAACAATTCTTACCCTAGCTATGAGTGATGTACTCTTAATATTTTCTGTCCTATTCTGTTTTATTCTATTTCATTTTTAAACAATGTGGTCTGTGATTCACAGAATTTGATTTTATGACCTAAGAATAAGTTGCAATTGCAATTTGAAGAACACTACTGTGGTCTATTTTATATATCCTACAGAGGAGGAAACTGAGATGAGAAGTGATTTGCCAAAGCACACAGCTAGTTGGGGGTAGAGCTAAATTAGAACTTTGGGAAGAAAAAATCCTACTTACCTACAGTAAAGAGAGATTTACTATTCTTTGCAGTCCTACTGGATGCCTTTTATTTTTTTCATGCGATGCTTCACTTTTCAGTATCACGTGGAATGGAGAGTATAAGGAACTGAGATGGTAGATGGTTTTGAATGGATGAATTAACTAATCACTTTACTTCTTTGTCTTCTTTAGAACAAGAGGATTAGATTAAATAATAATTATTATTATTTTAAGAGACAGAGTCTTTCTCTGTCACCCAGGCTGGAGTGCAGTGGTATGATCATGGCTCACTATAGCTTCAGATGCCTGAATTCAAGCCATCCTCCTGACTCAGACCCCTGAGTAGGTGGGACTACAGGCACACACCACTACACTTGGCTAATTAAAAAAATTTTGTAGAAATAGGGTCTCACAGGCTGGGCGTGGTGGCTCACACCTGTAATCTCAGCACTTTGGGAAGCCGAGGTGGGCGGATCATGAGGTCAGGAGATTGAGACCATCCTGACCAACATGGTGAAACCCTGTCTCTACTAAAATACAAAAAAAAATTAGCTGGGTGTGGTGGTACACACCTGTAGTCCCAGCTATTCGGGAGGATGAGGCACAGGAATCGCTTGAACCCAGGAGGCAGAGATTGCAGTGAGCTGAGATTGTGCCACTGTACTCCAGCCTGGTGACAGAGTGAGACTCTGTCTCAAAAAAATAAAAGAAAGAAACAGGGTCTCACTATGTTGCCCAGGCTGGTCTCAAATGCCCAGCTCAAGCAGTTCCTTTTCCCTGGTCTACCAAAGTGCATGAGCTGTCATGCCTGGCCTAGATTAAATTATTTTAATTATTTGAATAGATAATGTATGAACATGATATATATATATCTCCTGACCTTGTGATCCGTCTGCCTCAGCCTCCCAAAGTGCTGGGATTACAGGCATGAGCCACTGTGCCAGTCTGAACATGATTTTTAAGTTCAAAAAGCATTAAAGGATTTATATTGAAAAGGAGTCTCTCCTATTACCTCCAAGTCAGTCAGTTCCTCTTCACAGGGACAACCTTATTTTTAATAGTTATTTTTTGTGTGTGTATCTTCCTAGTAGTATGGACTAGGTGATTTATAAGGTTTCCTTGAGCACTAGTGTTCTAGAATCCTAAATACCTAAATGTGAGAAGAGTTAGCACTTTGACTTTTATAGAGATGCCTGTAATTGTAGTCAGAGTGTAAGAGAAAACACCTTTCTTCTGTTTCTGTCAGCACTCTTCTTGCTCCCAAACTGCAGATTGTAATGTCTGCAGGATCTAAGTCTTTGGGGTGGAGAGGGCAGGATAAGTAACGTTCCTGTAGGTAAGCCCCAGGGCACCCTCATATGGAATCTGACTAGGAGTTGCTAAATGCTACCCAGTGGCACAGGGAAGCAGGGGCTTGTTAATACTCATTCTTACAGATACCTGTACTGATATTTGATGGAGTAGTCTTGTTTTTTTGGGGGGGGGCGGGGAATATTATAAAGGTGTCTTGGAGATGGAAAACTTAAAATCATCTTCTGTGCCACCAAACTCTTTGCTTAGCATATCCTTAATCTGATATAGGAGTCTAGCACCTGAAGCCATACATTGGCTTTATATCTTTCTCTTAGCTGCCAGTGTTGAATTTAAATGAGACGCAGCTTCCCTGTCCTGAAAGAAATATGGTTGTACTGTGGATCCCAGAAGAAACAGAGATAGATGTGAGGTGAGTATCATATCTGGAACTCAAAGGCCTTTGATTCTGTAAATACCTGCTGTCTTCTGCAGGCGTCCTGTTTGTGATCTTCCTTTTAGCCAGCTCATTGCAAGTAGCAGGAGGCCAAGCAGAGAAGGTCGTGGTCACTTGCATCTACTTTTTGCTATAATGGAATTTTAATGTAATGTGTTTTGAGATTCATGCTGTGGGACTTCACCATATCAAATTTTACATGGCAGTAACTAGCATACAAGATAAGGTCCAACTTATTTATAAGGCTTGACTAAGAAATAAACGCTCTTTCTTAGTTTTTCTTATTAGTCACTTGGAACAAGTGAAAAAGTTCTCAGTGAAGCATGTGAATCTCTGATCTCAACCCCAGGGCCTAGTACAGTGTACAAAAGCAATAGCATACAGGACTTGTATGCAAAACAGTGCGTGACAAAGATCATTTGTTGAAGGTCCAAAGGCTTGCTAATATTGACAAGCATGGAGAAAGTGTTTGGTTTTTCTTTCTTGATCCTTGAGGCTGTTTGGGGCAGGGCCAGGCAGAATGGGGCACAGGCCTCTGATTCTTAAGTGACATTTAGAGATGATGAAACTTAAGAATTTCTTTTTATTTCATTTTTTCTTTTTAAAAAATGATCCTGTGAATGCTTCTCTCTCTGTCACCACACACACACACACACACACACACACACACACACACACACACACAGAGACACACACTTATGCATTTTTGTTTGTGTAGATACGGTATAAACAAATGAAAACCCTATGGGTTTATTTCCTTTCATGTGAAAGAAGCTCAGAAGTAGGCAGGCCTAGGGCATGTGAGTTCCATGAGATAATTAGAAACCAGAGCTCCTTCTAGCTTTCTGGCTTTCTGGGCCATCATCCTTAGCCCATGGATTCTAACTTCTAAGGAATTTCATGGGTGCTTTTTTTTTTTTTTTTTTTTGAGATGGGGTCTTGTGCTGTTGCTCAGGCTGGAGTGAAGTGGATTCTCCTGCCTCAGCCTCCTGAGTAGCTGGTACTACAAGTGCATGCCACCATGCCTGGCTAATTTTTTGTATTTTTTTTTTTTTTTTTTAGTATAAATGGGATTTCATCATGTTAGCCACAATGGTCTTGATCTCCTGACCTTATGATCTGCCCGCCTCAGCCTCCCAAAGTGCTGGGATTACAGGCATGAACCACTGCTCCCAACCTCATGGGTGCTTTTAATGTCTAAGTTGGCTACTAGAACTCCAGCTATCATATCCATCTCCCAGGCAAGGAGGAAGAGGACAGAGCAATAAAATACTTATTTTTTGAGATGGAGTCTTGCTCTGTCGCCCAGGCTGGAGTGCAGTGGTATAATCTTGGCTCACTGTAACCTCTGCCTCTCAGGTCCAAGCAATTTTCCTGTCTCAGTCTCCCAAGTAACTGGGATTATAGACCCACACTACCATGCCTGGCTAATTTTTGTATTTTTTTAGTAGAGATGGGGTTTCACTATGTTGGCTAGGCTGGTTTCCAACTCCTGACCTTGTGATCTGCCTGCCTTGGCCTCCCAAAGTGCTGGGATTACAGGCGTGAGCCACCATGCCCGGCCATAAAATACTTCTTACACAACCTCTCTGTCTCAGGCAGTGAGGATTTAGTGGAGAACCATATAGATTTGGTCCCTGTCCTGTTGGAGCCTTGTCAGGGGGAGTGAAACATTACAGACAAAACCACAGCTACATTGATCATTTCTAATTTGGTTTCATGTTATGAAAGCAGATAACTGGATTGGCTGAGAGAATGATGGGAAGCCTAATTTAGATAGAAGCCTAATCTAGCAGAAGGTACTTGGGCAACAGGTACTGCTGGGCTCCCAACCAGCTGTATTTGAGTACTGATTAGAGCTAGGAATATTTGTGGTCATCATTCACAACCTTGGAACTTCTCTTTAAGATCTGGGAATAAGTTGTGCTTATTCTTATTTCAAGTCCAGCTGAGAAGCATGTTTTGTTTTGTTTTCTCCAGCCACCATGGGAAGAAGAAAAAGAACTTGGCAGTGGTGAGTTTGATGTTTTTGTGCAGACCTTTATATCACTATGTAGACTTTATTTTGTTTTCCTTTCAGGTCTCCTCCACCTCACCTCCTTTCTTTTCCTAAATTATCAGAATCTGCTAAAGAAAACCCTTCTTTATGAATAATTAACCAAACCATTCTCTCTTCAGAGACTCCTCTTCCCTGTCTCCTCCCTGTAGGAAGATGAAGAGCATCTTGAGATAATAGGAGGAACTATTGGGTATTCAGGGAGAATTTTTGGTCAATTAAAAACTAATCCCAATATGATGAGATAGAATTTCAATGGACTAGGAGTTACAAGACCTGGGCTTCTCATTCTAATTCTACCATTTAGGGGTAAATGTGACCTTGGATAAGTCACAGAACTGTAAGACTGCTATGTCCATGAGAGTAGTGTCTTGGTTCATTTTGTTCATTGCTGAATCCCCATCCCTAGCCCTGTTACAGACACATAATTAGACAATAAATTTTTGTTCAGTTTGTTGAGTGAATAAATGAATGCCTTTTCTGGAAAATGAAGCAAAACAACTAATCCCTGTATGATCTGAATACAACAATAGAGTTGGGAGCTTGAGAGGAATTGTGGTGGCCCTCATCATTCAGAGGAGGCGAGAATGGCTGAAGTGCATGCCAGGGTAGTGCTGGGAGGCTAGAATGTTGATGGGAAGGAATAGGCTCAGAAAGAGGGCTTTGGAGAATTCTTTCCACTGTTTCTCTTCCAGAAAAGCAAGTCATTTCTGGGTCTCTCTGGAAATCAGTCCACAGAATCACGAGTAGGAACTCCAGAGATGATTGTGCCTCCCCCGACCCCAGTGCAATTGTCTGAAAACTTCAGATCAGATTTCCTACCTCTCTGGGCCCAATCTGAAGCATTACCTCAGGATCTACTGAAGGAGTAAGTATCATGTAGGTCTGTGGGAGAGCCAGAGCATCTGTTTTTATCTGAAGCTGAGATGGGTCTAAACAGTGTGCTCTTCCTGAGTAGGGCTGGGAGAAAACTATCACCCCAGTTGTTTATGCAACTCTTAGCCTTACCAACAGGCAGGGATGACCATCATAACCATCACCATTTATTATGCTTACCATGTGCCCAGCCCTGTGCTAAGCACATCACAGGTACTTTCATTTAAATTTCCACTAGGAGGCAGGCACTATCACTCTTTTCTTTTTATAGGTGAATTATGAGTAAGTGGTAGGCAGTATGTATGGTCTGCAGTGAGAGGACCTTTGAGTTTTACATTGAAACTTAACCGGCTATATGAATTTTGGTAATATATTTAGCTTCTTAAAGCTTCATTTTCCTCATTTCAAAGTATGAATAATACCTGTTCTCAGGGTGTTGTAAGGATTCAGTGTTATAAAGCACATGAGACTGACATAGAATCAGCACTGAGCATGTGCAGCTATGATGATTTTAGTTGCATCAGAAAGGTGTTACCAAATGAGCACTTGTTGGTACAGCCCTTTTCAGAACCAGAGTGGAGATTTCTTGGAGCCCTTTATATCTCTTTCTCCTCAGCCATGCTTTCCAGGAAGAGCTTTTGCTGACTGGAACTGTCCCCTTCAGACTTTTCCCAGGTAGAAAGCAAACCATGCCCTGTCCAGAGATGAAGATACAGTTGGCCATGATGAGAAAGAATCTTCCCTTGAAAATGAACCGACCTGACAGTGCAATTTCTTCTAAGATGTTTCTGTCTATACATCGCCTCACCCTGGAAGTAAGAGCTAAGGAGCAACAGGGAAGAAGCCTATGTGAAAATTCAAACCCTTCTCTTGTCAGATCTACACATTCTATTCCTTATCTCTCTTCTGCCTTTCCATGCTGAACCCAAGCCCCACAGAAGGCTGGGCTCTATGTAGGTGAAAGCCAAGCGATGGGGAAGTGTTGAGAGAGTAATGTTCTCTATTTCTTTTCTTTTTTTCTTTTTTGAGAGACTGGGTCTCACTCTGTCATCCAGGCTGGAGTGCAGTGGTTATCATGGCTCACTGCAGCCTTGACCTTCTGGGATCAAGCCATTTTCCCACCTCAGCCTCCAGGGTACTTGGGACTATAGGCATGTGCCACCATGGCTGGCTAATTTTTAATTTTTTATAGAGACAGGATTTCACTATGTTGCCTAGACTGGTTTTAAACTCCCGAGCTCAAGTGATCCACCCACCTCAGCCTCCCAAAGTGCTGGGATTACAGGCGTGAGCCAGCGTGCCTGGCCATGTTCTCTGTTTCTTCTGCACTTTGTTACCCACATCTTTTCCCTTCCTCCATAGCCTCTGGTACAATGCTGCAAAACACTGGTGTTGACTGGATGATAAACGCATCTGGGGGACACATTTGGAGAAAGGGAGAGATCTGCAGTAGAGCTTTGCTTCTTTTTTCTTTTCCAGAGACCAGCACTGCGATATCCTGAACGTCTGAAGAAATTACATAACCTGAAGACAGAAGGTAGATTTGCTGTTGCTGCTGGATCTCTAAGCACAATTTTCTGTCAGCCCACATTTCTCATACTTTAACATGGTCCAATTCAGTTATATTTGTGGCCTTAATCATACAGAATGACATGTAGAACTCAGGAAACAATAGTTTCAGGAAGCAGCCTGTCTGGATTGGTCCTTACCAGGGAGGGTCAGCATTGTGAAGGAGGGCACAGCAGGCATTCCAGTGGGAGAGAGGGGGCTGTTAGCCAGAATAGGATCAATCTGGCTCTCTGGTCACCAGGTTACGGGAAACAGCAGCAGTGGCAGCGGCGGCACCAGCAACAGAGGAGGGTGAAAACACCTACTAAGAAACAGGTAGAGTGGCAGTGAGGGGCTTGCTGGGACTGGGAGAAATAGCTACAGCCTGCAATGGAAGGGGTGTATGAAAAGTGGGAGTCTCCTTGTTTTCTATCTGGTTATAGATATAAAGTTCTTGTCTGATTGTAGATGTTAAATTCCTTCTTTTAGTTTCCTTTTGAAAAAAATTTCTTTACTTCCAAATATCCTAATTAGTTCCTCTTGATGTGGGTTTCAGGAGGCTAAAGTGAAAGCCAAGGGTGATCCAGGGAGCCAGAGCACGTCACGTAAACATCCAGTTACCACTGTTCATGACCGTCTCTATGGTAAGGGTAATATATGCTTGGTTGGGGGTGATAGGATCCTTGAGGGGTAGGTGTCTGAGGGCAGGAAAAGCTAAGCATGCTCTTGTCATTTTGAGACCTGCCTTTGTTAGGCACTCACAATTTCTTGGAATGTTTCAGGCTGTCTGGTCTTACCTTGCACCATGCTTCCCTCAGACATTTACTAAGCAAACAAACTGGGCCAGATGTATGCTTCACGTGGGGACTTGAAAGATGATGGTGAACATGAATCACAGTCACTTCTTCCTCAGGTTCTGCCTAAGAAAAGGCAGAGCACTTTGAGGATCAGGAGAGGAGCAAGCCCAGGTTTTTGCAGAGAAAACCCTGAGGGCCCGTTGTCCAATGAGGCAGGGAGAGCTGGGGCCCCTCACTAGAACCCCAAAATTGTTCTAAGGAAGCAGAGCTCCAGGGCCCCCTAACCTCCCTGCCACAAGGTAGAGAGTCTGTGGAGCCTCATGTTAAAATCCGCACATTGTCTAGCCCCATCCAGGAGGCAGGGAGCCAATTCTTGTCAGGCACTTCTTTTGTTCCAGTGCACGTGCTGGATATCTCCCCATTTTGGAGTCCTTATCATGTCTGAGCTCAGGGATGTATTTACCCCTATCTGACATTTTTCAACTTGATTGCAGAATGGGAGGAGGGAGAAAGAATCCCCCAAAACCTTGGAGGATCATTGTTCCCTTCTCAGACTGGACATTGCTGACTTTAATAAGAAAACAACTGTTTAATCATCAGAAAGAACTCTCCATCCTGGGGTATTGGGAGGGCTGAGACTAAGTTTCCTGAGAAGGATGTTTCCCTCTTGCTTTCCTTCCCATCTCACTTATTGTCTGATACCAGTGATATCCTTTAACCTGAAATTCTAAGAAGGTCCCTGCCCTTCTCATGGGAGGTAGACAGAATCAGGGCTTGGTCCCGGGCAGGAAGTGATGTATCCATGGTTAGCACTCCATCTAAGGTGACCACTGCCACTCCCCTGAATTCCATTCTGGTGCCTTTTGTACCCCTTCCCAATGCCTCCAATAGGAGCAGTTTTGTTTGGATGACTGGGTTGCCCCCTGAGTCATTTTCTTAGAGTGGTGGCCTGTCCTCACTGAGTTGAGAAAGGCTTTACGGAAGAGATGATTTTTGCATTGGTTCTTGAGTATGTGTAGGAGTTTTCCTGATATGGGAAAGAACTTCTGAAAGGGAATAACCTGTGCAAAGGCGAATGGGAGGATCATAACTGCTCAGGAAACACTGAGCAGTTGAGTGTGGTTGTGAGGTTGGGTATTTGAGGAAGAGTGGTCTATCATGCCACAGAGGTAGGCAGGAGTTTGTATGGACTGCTAAGTCATTTGACCTTTATCATCCAGCCGGTGGTGCTCTGCCTTGACTGTACACTAAGAGCAATTGAGAAGCCTTTATTATTTATTTTATTTTTATTTATTTAGTTTTTTGAGACAATTTCACTCTTTTTGCTCAGGCCGGAGTGCCATGGCGTGATCTCTGCTCGCTGCAACCTCTGCCTCCCGGGTTCAAGCCATTCTCCTGCCTCAGCTTCCTGAGTAGCCGGGATTACAGGCATGCACCACCACGCCTGGAAAATTTTTTGTATTTTTAGTAGAGACGGAGTTTTTCCATGTTGGCCAGGCTGGTCTCAAACTCCCGACTTCAGGTGGTCCGCCCACCTCGGCCTCCCAAAGTGCTGGGATTATAGGTATGAGCCACCGCACCTGGCCAACAAGCTTTTCTTTTCTTTTTTTTTTTTTTGTTCCATGGGAACATGATCTTACAAGCTTTTAAAATTCTAATGCTCAGGCTGTATGCCAGCTATTAAATTAGAATTTCTGGTGGTAGAAACTAGGCCTCAGTATTCTTTTTTTTTTTTTTTTTAAGCTCCTGGGTTCTCCCAGTGTGCAGCTAAGGTAAGAACCAGTGTTGGAAGGGTGTCGATGGAAATGCCATATTTTAGCATAATGCCTCTGGTGGCAGCTTGCAAGATACTTGTTTAGGGAAAGAGAGATTGAGAAAAGAATGAATGAATGTACTTAGGGACTAGTTGGGGAAGCAGCTGATGCGAAAGAAACATGAAGCTAGAGGTTTTTGTTTTGCTCTGTTTATGGGTACATGAGGGATGGCGCAAGATGATGAGTCACATTCTGGTAAGAGGAATATTTATATGTTGTGAGAAGGTCAAGTTAGGGTTTCTTGGAGGAATCCTGGGACTTTTCACATACTTTACCATAATCTCTAATTCTGTAATAGATAAAAGTACAGTCCCAAGTGAGCAGAATCTCAAATAGAACTCAGAAGGTCTAGCTACATTTTACCTGCCACCAAGATCTTATCTTTTCCTGGATGCGGAGTCACTTATAGACTAAGGGTCACCTAGAAGCTCAAAATAGGGTATGATGGGCCAATACAAGGAAGATTGAGTTGACTTTTTAGTTATTAGATTACAGAACTCTGCCAGGTCGGAACAGTGACATGAAGCAGCGGCAGCTGATGGAGACAGAAGAAACCACCTCAAAACAGGTGAGAGTGTGCCAGGGCCTCTGCTAGGACCCAGTTTCAGTTATCTGTTACTCCAAAGCATAACCATAGTGATTTGTTATTTCTAATGATTCTGTGGGTTGACTGGACAGTTATTCTCTTCTTGCTTGAGGTCACATAATGCAACGGGGCTGAGACTGTTGCCCAAGTTGCTGGTTTTCCTTCCTGAGCCCTCTGCATGTGGCTCGTTTGGGCTTTTTGGCAGCATAGCAGTCTCATGAAAGCAGTTTCTTAAGGGATGGGCCTGGAATTAAAGCAGTGTTACTTCTGCCACATTTTATCGGCAGAAGAAGTTGCAAGTCCATCCCAGAGAGTAAATAAGAGAAGAAATAGACCCTGTCTCTTGATGGGAGGAACAGCATGTACGTGCTGGAATGGGAGGAATTGTTGGAAGCCATCCTTGGAAGGCGTCTGCCCTTGGTTGACTGTAGGGAATGGGAAGGAGTGGTTCTAGCTTCATTTCAACAGCACGGAGAGCAAAGAACATGTGATACCAGCTTCTTTTCGGTCCAAAGAGGTGGGTCTCTGGCTCATCTTAGATGTTAATTTCTCCAAGGAAAACATCTTTTAGAAAAATCCTTTTAGTTCCCTAAAGTCTTGATTCAAAATTCCTTACATTTTTCCCTGATGAATTTCAGGATTCCACAGAGAGACCAAAGATGGACTATTATGATCATGTGGATCTCTACCACAGGGTGAAAAGTAAGTTACTAGAGTAGAGGAGCCTTAGTAAGTGACTTGAGGCTAGGGAGAACTGAACCTGTGTTGACCAGGATAGTTTACTTCCCTGAAAGCACAGTCCTCCTGTCTTAGAGAGATCCTAAAAAACACCCCAGCTTTTCCTTTTCTGTCCTCCGTTTGTCATAGTTATTTGAGAGAAGTTTACAGGTGCAATTAATGACTGCATCTTCTTTTAGGTCCTGAATTGTATGAAACAGAACCGACTAACAAGGACATTAGTGCGCTGGTGGAAGCTGTGTCAGAAGCTCAGGCTGTCAGCCAAAAGAAGGTCTCCTTGAGCTTTTCAGAAAGTATGGCTAGAACAAGCTGGAACTCTGAGCTCAAACTACTGAGGATTCTTCAGGACACTGATGATGAGGATGAGGAGAGCCAGTCCTCTGGGACAGAGTGAGAAGCCTCTGGAGAAGTAGACTGAAGGCATCCCCCGGGCAGCTGTGTTCCAGAGTGGGACGGCTGGTATCCTGAGGACAGCAGCGTTTCAGATAAGGGCGAGAAGAGAGAGGACTTCTGCTCTCTGGAGCCTTTACCAGGGCCTGAGCTCTGAGCTTAGGGATTCAGTTTTCTTTGTTCACCTCTACTTTCCTCTAAAATAAATGTAGGAGAAAAAGCCCTACTCCTTTTACATTTAGATTATTTCTCTTCCATTAGGGTCAGGATAATTTTGTGATTAAACACAACTGCTTCTCAATCAAAAGACTCATTTTCTCTTTCTAGAAGGAAGGAAAAGATGTTTCTTGGTATCTGTTTTCTGGGTCACTCTTATCTAATCTCTGAAGCTCTGAAAGGTTTCCAGTGGTAGGAGGCTGAATTTGGCTCATGGGAGCTGCCATGGTGCTTGCGAGATTTTTCTCTCATTTCCCTAGAAATGGTTTCTTTTGGAGATGGGCTCTACATTGTTATCAAATAATGTTCATTGTATCGCTGATCTTGAGCCCCTAGGCTCAAGCAGTCCTCCCTCCTCAGCCTCCCAAAGTGCTGGGATTACAGGCATGAGCCACTGCACTCAGCCAAAAAGCTCTAGTTTCTGAGGAACTGAGACTGCAAGAAAGTTTCAGCGTTGCTCATAGACACAGAATTTCAAAGTCTCAGGGAACCTCTAACTTGGTTTTGGAGGGATTTTTTTTTTCAGTTTTAGTCCTTAAAAAGATTTAATGTAGTAAAGATTTCAAAATTATGTAAAAGGAAAGGGAATAATATAATGAAACTGATATATTCAGTATATCAGATCTGGGCAAGGAAGGCCCTTGCCTTGACCCCATGCTTTAGAAAGTCCTCTGGTCTTCTGGCTGTGCTTCCCTTCATGGAAGGGAAATCTGCAGAGCCAAATGGATGTATACCTCGCTGGAGTCTGTGACTCCCCTTGAGACTTTGTTCCTGGTATTTGGTTCCTTGGAATTTTCTGCTGAGTGGCCTCTTGCCTACTTCCATGGCTTGTGCAGGCATCTTTCATGGGTCCATCCTCCCAAGCGTGGACTATCCCACCAGTGTGTGCACTGCTGGATTCAAGCGGGGTAAGAGGAGGTTATATGGAGAGGGATGTGCCCACAGCTTGGACATATAGGTTGAGGCATCTGCATTTGTGGCCTTTCCCAGTGAGAATGGGATCTGGGGATGAGAAGTGAGGGCTGGTTCTTCTAGTACTGCATGTTTGTGTGGAATCTCAAGGAATCTGTGGATTTTGAATGAACTTGGCTTTCTAGATCATGAAGATATACTGGTCAAGGTAGGAGGATAGAACATGTTTTATTTAACAATTTGTTAGCTTGATTTATAGTTTTTAAATGTTCAGACATGGTTAGTAGACCTGTTTTTGTACACTTTTCCTGAGTCCTGCAAAACATTAGGGCTGAACATAGCCCTCATTTGGGACAAATTTTAAGGAGGAAGAATTTAGCCCCACAACATAGAGATCATTTATTTGCAGGCCCATTTTAAACGTAAGGATAGTGAAGCTCAGAGAGGGGATTTGTCTTGACTGAGATCATGAGCTTGGAAGTGGAGCTGAGCTGGAATCTGGGTCTCCTAGTGCTAGCTCAGAGCTCTTTTCATTATTCCACTCTGCTGTTCTTTCACTTCATTCTCCAGAAACAGTGTAGGTTATTCGTCATCATATTTAACCAGAGTCTGACTTCCTCTCCTTCCTGGAGTACTGTCTGTCGTCTTCTATAATTGATTAATGTGGGTCCCAGGGATGCTGGCTCCATTTTTATTTTAATCAGGAAAATTGGAAATATACAAAAGTTAATGAGCTCCCATTTGTCCATTACGTAAGAATTATCAATTTATGACCAATCTTGTTTCATATGCATATTCCCCCATTCTGAACAAGGTTATTTGAAGCAAAGGTCATTTTATTCATAAATACTTCAGCATATACCTCAAAGAAAAGTGTTAAAATTAACTACAAAAATTAATCATAGTTGTTTAATATCATTAAATATCCAGGCAAATTCAAATTTCCCTCTATTATTAATTAATTTCTTTTCACAGTTGATTCCTTCAAACTAGAATCCAAATAAGGCCTGTAAATTGAGTTTGGTTTATATGCTCAAAAATCTTTTTTTTTTTTTTTTTTTTTTTGATAGAGGGTCTCACTCTGTTGCCTAGGTTGGGGTGCAGTGGCATGATCACAGCTTACTGAAGCCTCGACCTCCAAGGCTAAGGTGATCCTCTTGCCTTAGCCCCTCAAATTGTTGGGACCACAGCCATACGCCACCATGCCTGACTAATTATTTTTTATTATTATTTGTAGAGATGGGGTCTTGCTATCTTACCCAGGCTAGTCTCGAACTCCTGGGCTCCAGTGATCCTCCCATCTTGGTCTCCCAAAGCGCTGGGATTACAAGTGGGAGCCACTTGACCTCTAAGATCCTTCACTCTATAGAGATCAAGTGGCTCCAAGCTGTAATCCCGGTGCTTTCCCTTTTCCTTTTTCTCTTTTTTCCTGTAAATCCCACTTTCTCCATTTTCCTTTTTCTTTTCTTGCAATTTATTTGCTGAAGAAACTGGGTGGTTTGGCCTGTAGATTCCTATAGTCTTGATTTTGCCAGTTGTATCCCCATGGTGTTGTTTCTTCATTCTCTTTATTTCCTGCAAACTTTTAGATCCAGAGGCTTGGGCTGCTTCATGGTTTTTCTTCTTCTTCTTTTTTTTTTTTGCAAGAAAATGTCATAGATAGCATTACGTGCTTCCATCAGGGGGACCGTAATGGCTGGGTGTCTCTTCTCTGGTCTTAGTGGCCAACAATGATCTTTGCCTCATAATGCAACCTTACTTACCTTGTTGTTTAGTTTTGATAGTCTTTTAGTGGATTTCTTATTATTTTCTTTTTCTTTTTTGGAGTGTATCACCTTTATTGATAGTGTTGTTGGGGAGGGAGAGGAAATATTTCTTTTCTCACTTATTGCTGGGTTCATGACAGAGACATCTATAGCAAAGGACAGGTTAGCAAGAGAAAAGCATACAAATTTATTTAATGTAAGTTTTGCATGACATGGGAGCCTTCATTCCTGTGAAGTGAAGACAAAGAAACAGGGAAACCTAGGTAATTTTATGCTAAGTTTGATGAAGAGTAGACAGTTGTGGAGAAATATGACTGGAGGACAAAAGAGTGTGATCTAATGGTAATAAACCTGGGGAACTTAGCAAGGCCTGTTTGTGCAGATTCTTCTTTTTGTCCCTTGTGTTTTCAGAGCTAAGGATATTCCTTTCCTCTAGGTATAGGGAAGGTCCCTCTCAGAATGAATATCTTGTTTCGGGGAGAAGAGGGAATGATGAGAGTGACTTTCCTGCTTCTGCTGTGCTTTCAAACACCAAGGTGCCATATTTTGGGGTTGCATGTCCTGAACCTCGCCATTGTCCTCTTCTAAGTTCATCCCTAATATGTCAAGGTGACTTCAAGATGGTCACATAGCCCTGAGGCTTACCCTTAGGGAGTGAAGTGTGGTTTTCTAATGTGATGCTCCCACAGGCAAAGCGGGGAAATATCCTTCTGACATGCAGCCCAGCTCGTTTTTGGCTTACTATTCCTTGCATCCAGCAGGAGCTAGGATTGCACCTGCCCACTTGCTGGTTTATTATACTACAAAGGATACAGATGAAGAGATATGTAGATCCAGGTATGGGGAAGAGGCTTCCATGCTTTCCCTGGGCGCACTACCCTCCAGGAATCTCCATGTGTTAAACTATCTGGAAGCTCTTCTTAGGATGTTCTGTATACAAGATTATATCATTTACAAATCGAGACTTTTTGTGTCTTTTAATTGTCATGGTTCTAATTTCTTTTTCTTGCTTAACTGTCCTCGCTAGAACCTCTAGTACAATGTTGAATAGAAATGGTGAGTAGACATCCTTGTTTTATTTTTGATCTTAGGGCAGAGCATTTGGTCTTTCACCATTCAGTATGATGTTCACTTTGAGTTTTTCATAGAAGCCCTTAATTATATTGAGTTCTCCCCTCTCCTCCCCTCCCCTGTCCTTCCTTTCCCTTCCCTTTCTTTTTTGACAGACTGTGTTGCCCAAGCTGGAGTGCAATGGTGTGGTCTCTGCTCACTGCAACCTCTGCCTCCTGGGTTCAAGTGATTCTCCTGCCTCAGCCTCCCAAGTAGCACCTCCAAGATTACAGGTGCCTGCCACCATGCCTGGCTAATTTTTGTATTTTTAGTAGAGACTGGGTTTCCCCATGTTGGCCAGGCTGGTCTTGAACTCCTTAAGTGATCCACCTGCCTCGGCTTCCCAAGTGTTGGGATTACTGGCGTGAGCCACCATGCCTGGCCTTGTATTAATTCTTTAAATGTTAGGTAGGAGCTATCAGTAAGGCAATCTGGGGCTGAGCTTTTCTTTGTGGGTAGTTTTTTGAGTGCAAATTCAATCTCTTTATTGTTATAAGCATATTCAGATTGCCTATTTCTCCTTCTTCTTTTTTTTTTTTTTTTGAGACAAGGTCTCATTCTGTCACCCAGGTTGAAGTGCTGTGGCACGATCCTGGCTCACTGCAACTTTCGCCTCCTAGGCTAAAGTGATCCACCTCAGCCTCTTAAGTAGCTGGGACTATAGGCGTGAGCCACCATGCCTGGCTAATTTTTTGTATTTTTGGTAGAGACAGGGTTTCATGTTGCCCAGGCTGGTCTTGAACTCCTGAATTCAGGTGATCCACCTGCCTCAGCCTCCCAAAGTGCTGGGATTACAGGGATAAGCCATTGTACCTGGCTATTTCTTCTTGAATTAGTTTCTGTAGTTTGTGTTTCTAGGAATTTGTCCATTTCATCTAATTGTCAAATATATTAGCATGCATTTACTTGTAGTATTTTTTTTTTTTTCAGATGAAGTTTCATTCTTGTTGCCCAGGCTGGAGTGCAATGGTATGATCTTGGCTTCCTGCAAGCTCCACCTCCTAGGTTCAAATGATTCTCCTGCCTCAACCTCCCAAGTAGCTGAGATTACAGGCATGTCCCACCATGCCTGGCTAATTTTTTGTATTTTTAATAGAGAAGGGGTTTCACCATGTTGGCCAAGTTGTTGTTTAGTAGTATGTTGGCCTCGAACTCCTGACCTCAAGTGATCCACCAGCTTTGGCCTTGCAAAGTGCTGGGATTACACGCATGAGCCACTGCGCCCAGCCTACTTGTAGTATTTCTTTTAATCCTTCAAAGGTTGATAGTAATGTCTCCTCTTTTATATCTGATTCT